CGACATTTCTGTTGCCTCAAGTCTCTTCTTCCGCTGTGAGGAGATTGTCTAGCATTCACTGCAATATAGGAGGACTGATATTACATAACAATTCAATATTATTTTCTTTGTTTCTAAAAAAATTATCTTGTTCCTTTTGAAAGGGATCTTCAATTCACCCTTGGATTTCAATGTTGTAACGGAGTTGGAAAAACCAAGTTTTGTCCATTTTTCATTTTTGATTCTCAAATAATTTATGGGAAGTCAGTATAAAAATGGGTAAAAGCTGATCAAGCTCAAGTCAGCTTCACACTAAGTTGGGAAGAACGAACATCTACTTCATGAGTAAGGCTGCTAAAACACATCCAATGATGTTGTTAAATGGAAAAAGTTAATTTGCCAGTGGTCTGGGGAAAACTAACATTCCCCAATGGAAATGCTATTACTGTGTGGTTCACATTTTGAAGTCAAGAGGAGAAAGATTCTGTCCTTTCTGGAAGTCTGGTCATAAAATTGCACATATGACCAGAAACCCTTTCTGGTTTCTTTATAACTTACATCATGGGAAAATTAATTTAAAAATTTTTTTTTTATTCATTATAATTTTATTTATTGGTTTTATTTCATTTTACCCCTATACTCATTCTTTCTCTTTCTGCACATGTTTCATTGAGCCATTCCTCTTTATCTTGCTTGTATTTGTTCCTAATTTCTTTGTGCAGAGTCCTATGTTCTGTGCCATACCTTGGCATTGTCTTCTTTTTATCATATTGAGACTTTCATCTATCATCCATTCTTTTTTTCCTTTGTCTATTTTTCTTTGGGAGTATCTCCATTGCTGGTGCTACTAAAGCTTCTCTTAATGTATCTCACTTCAAGTTTTCATTCTCATTTTGCCCTTCATATCTGCTTTTAACAATGACCATATAATATAATATATAAAATATATATATTTGGGTCATTCAGGTGTCTGTTGTGTTGCAATTGGCCTTGTTCAATTTCTGTAATTTCACTCTAAGTTTACATCAGGAAAATTAATGACAAAGTGGAAAACTGTTTTCATGTTGATATGTTTTGTTCTTTAGACTACATCAATCAACAGTGATGTTTACGTTGATGTGACCAAACATACACACAATGAAAGGGAATGCTGAGAAATTTAAATTTATTTTTTTTAAATATATGTTTTGGGTATTTAGTCAAGCTGATTTGATTTAGATTCTTTTTCTTTTCTTTTTTTCATGGTTTTATTGCATTACACATAAAATTAATGTAACAACGCATGTGCACAAAGAGGAGGAGATGCTGAAATTTTAAACATTTAAATAAAATTTTTTTATATATATGTTTGGATCTATAGTCTAGACTTCTCTCTTTTTTTGTTTATGTTTTTATCGCATTTGTTATTAAATATTCCACATTCTGATAATAGAATATCTGCCAAAATCCTGGATGTAAATTTACTGCAGATAATCAAGAAATTAAAACATTTTCTATACATTTTTGTCTAAATAAATTGCTTTCTCTTTTAATTAAAGTATCATTTTTTAAAATCAAAATTATAGACTCATTATAGTTAGCAACTCATACATTGAGTGTTGTTTTGTCAAAGATTCCTTTTGTGTTCATATAATATTTTATTTAACTTCCTCAGGGTTTCTCCTATGTATTCTTTGTAGCAATGATTACAGGTAATAGAGTAAATTCCTCTTTCAACTTTTAGCTTATTATTTTGTTTTATATTAACTATATAATAATAATATAATTAATAATAAAACTTGAAGGAGGAATTTAATTTATTGTTGCACTATTGACAGCCTAAATCAACCCCTACATTTTTTACTTTACGAATGTGTAAGCAAACACAAAAGCAACAAGAGAAACAACACAAAACAATATTTATATTTATGTAATGATGTACAAGCATAAGGGTTACTTCCCTTTGACTCGAATTAAAGTTTTTACTAATGAAATATTTTTATCTAAGCTCATAAAAATTTGAATGAACTTGCCACTCAAAATGTTCACTGTGAGAGAGTTGAAAGAATTCTGTAAAGCTGAAAATATGTTGATAAACTTTTAGCTTCAGAAGAGGTGAAGGAGTGAATGTTCCGTAATGTTTATAATTAAGTTTCCGTTACTTGTAATGTTATGTAGTGTTCGTAATTAAGTTTTGTACATATGTGTATGTGTGCGTGTGTGATTATGTTTTCATAGCATCTGCTTGAACTGGGGTCAGAACGCACTTTCTTTAACAGCTACATTTTTGTAAGCAATAGAAATCAAAAAGAGAGGAGAGAATGAACTTGTATCTGATATTTATAATCAATGTTGTCACATGATAGGTTCCCGAGAAAGAAGTGGGAAATTGTGACATGGTCATGCACTTGAATAAGATTTATGCGTGGGTGGATTGCAATGCCCACTTGTGTGTTTATTGACCAATTAGAAGTTGAAGTTTTCTGAAAATATGTATGAAACTGGATAAACTCTGTGATCCACTTTTTGCACAGATTTGCACAAAAATCACCATTGATAAAAAAAATGCAGTAGCAGGGTGCTAAAATATCACCTGTAATAATTGTCACAATGATTACATAGGAGAAACCTTAAGGAATTAAATAAAATATTATATGAACACAAAAGGAATCTTTTACAAAATAACACACACCATACATTAGTTGGATGTTGCAGTTTATATAGGATCAATTTCAGTGAACTGTGTGGTTTGGTGATCTATTAAATAAAATGAACCAAATGCTCAGTTATTATTTTTGAAACATACTAACAAACTTTTATGAACACTTTTCAAAATGTCAGTAACTTCTAATTGTGTGGGGATTACATAACCAGATTTATTACATATATATTTATGCAGCATATTTTCATTCAAGCATGTTTGGTTAAATATTTTTGGCATATTATATTTATTTATTTTAGTTTTAATCCTTTCAAGTACACAAATTAATTTTGTCTCTGTTAAATAGCACCTTACAAAAACCAACATCATATATCAATTTAAATGTCCTTTGGAATTTTGGAATTGAATTTTTCTTGATCAATTTTATACAGCCACCAAGAAATTAATTCATGGACTTGAAAGGATTAAAACTAAAATAAATAGACATAATACATCTAAATTATATATATATATATACATACTACTGGACATTCATTTCTTAGGACCAACAGTCAGACTGACTGCACATATCATTTTTGATTATAGTTGTAAAGGCTTGTGCAGAACCAACCACACTTTCTGGAAGAGCTGAATATGGAGAACCAGTGCACAATATGTCACAAGGTCTCCAAACGACCCTCCACAGGTTTTGAATTGTCCTCCTTCAGTCACCACCCAAGACTATAGAATTCAGTATGTCCTACTGTTTACCCATAGCTGGTGGTGGGGTATAAGAGATGGATTCATACCTTTCCCAATGAATCTTTCACATAAGTGAATATAATGAACTTGACAGGATTTGAACTTGGCTTTACAATTCCTCAATCCTAGCCACTCACCGATACCTCAATCCTAGCCACTCACCGATACCTCAATCCTAGCCACTCACCGATACCTCAATCCTAGCCACTCACCGATTCCTCAATTCTAACCACTCACTGATTCCTCAATCCTAGCTACTCACTGATTCCTCAATCCTAGCTACTCACTGATTCCTCAATCTGAGCCATTCACTGATTCCTAAATCTGATCCATTTGCTGATTCCTCAATTCTAGCCACTTACCGATTCCTCAATTCTAGCCACTCACCGATTCCTCATTTCTAGCCACTCACCGATTCCTCAATCTGAGCCACTCACCGATTCCTCAATCTGAGCCACTCACCGAATCCTCAATCCTATCCGCTCACCGATTCCTCAATCCTATCCGCTCACCGATTCCTCAATCCTATCCGCTCACCGATTCCTCAATTGTAGCCACTCACCGATTCCTCAATCGTAGCCACTCACCGATTACTCAATTCTAGCCACTCACCAATTCCTCAATCTGAGCCATTCACCGATTCCCTAAATCCTAGCCACTCACTGATTCCTCAATCCTGGCCACTCACTGATTCCTCAATCCTGGCCACTCACTGATTCCTCAATCCTGGCCACACACGATTCCTCAATCCTGGCCACTCACCCATTCCTCAATCCTGGCCACTCACCCATTCCTCAATCTGAGCCATTCACCGATTCCTAAATCCTAGCCACTCACCGATTCCTCAATCCTGGCCACTCACCGATTCCTCAATCCTGGCCACTCACCGATTCCTCAATCCTGGCCACTCACTGATTCCTCAATCCTGGCCACTCACCGATTCCTCAATCCTGGCCACTCACCGAATCCTCAATCCTATCCGCTCACCGATTCCTCAATCCTATCCGCTCACCGATTCCTCAATCCTATCCGCTCACCGATTCCTCAATTGTAGCCACTCACCGATTCCTCAATCGTAGCCACTCACCGATTACTCAATTCTAGCCACTCACCAATTCCTAAATCCTAGCCACTCACTGATTCCTCAATCCTGGCCACTCACTGATTCCTCAATCCTGGCCACTCACCGATTCCTCAATCCTGGCCACTCACTGATTCCTCAATCCTGGCCACTCACTGATTCCTCAATCCTGGCCACTCACTGATTCCTCAATCCTGGCCACTCACCGATTCCTCAATCCTAGCCACTCACCGATTCCTCAATCCTGGCCACTCACTGATTCCTCAATCCTAGCCACTCACCGATTCCTCAATCCTGGCCACTCACTGACTCCTTAAAGCATGGGAATGTAACAGTGGATGTAAAATAAACATCTTCAAAAATTTGAAAATACTAGGAGAATTTTAACCAAAACAGAAATTATTCTTAAACTGATTAAAGTTTAAAATTTATGTGACACTTTCTGTTTTACCTTTTTGTTTTCTTTTTTATTAAAACCTGAAAATTCTTTAATGATTTTTCATGTTATCATTTTTACCACATTTTTCCCTTTAATTAAATATTGTCAATATTTTCTAGGGCGCCGAGAAAGTTTGGAATCATCAAGTAGCAAGGACACTTCACTCTCAGGAAACCAGGTTTCTCAATTCAAATTTTCAAAGCTTGATAGAGATTCTACGGGGACAGCGAAAATGGGTTATGGTCGATCACCATTACTTAGTTCAAGGTCAGCATGGAGTGATCAAGTGTGTTGGCCTCGAAAAGAGTCAATGGAGCATGTATATGAAAATGCCTCAGTGTAAGTAAGCTTTCAAATTTTATTGACTTATTTTCTTAATCAGCCTTTTTATATTAATTCCTTTTTGCATCTGTATTTAATTATTTATTACCCAGTTTTATTCATAAATATTTTCAGTACATTTCTTAAATTTTCATAAATTGATTGCAAATGAAATTATATCTACATTCACTTTATTTTGGTGGCAAAATATATTCATATTTTTAAAATGAAAAATTATCATTATTATAATATAGTCATTTATTTGAATTGATGTCCCTATCATCATTTTTATATTTATAACATATTTTGGGGTACCTGTCCTGTCATATGTGGCAACCTGGGAATTTCAAATTGAATTCTTTATTCAGTTCTTAAATGTAAACCATTCTTATTCGGTTGTCCATGCTAAGGGGAGATAACTCCTAGTAGAAAATTCTTAATTTGTCCTATTGATGCCACTTCTGCTCAATCCACTAAACCAGAGTATAGGAATTTCAATACTTGACCGAGCAATTGAGATACCACGCACCAGGTAACTTAATACACTCAACTAACTCTTGTATCCATGCTATATGTATAGGATAATCAGGTATTGAAATGTTTAAGCTTTAAACCTAATGTTTGTTTTTTTCTAATCAAATGCTTCTATATAGTGTTCAAGTGAATGATAAGTTTACTGGGGAGCTTATCATATATACCGATTCCTTCATTTATCTTATTTTCCAGCATAGTTCTCTATGTATTATTCTAACTCCCTTCAGAAGTTGGTAAACTCCACATTTTTCCTCAGATGGTCAGCCATACTTGTTTTCATAGTCTTTCCATGGATTATAGCCTTTTTATATTCTTAAAGCTGTCCTTGCTATTACATTCTTTATCACAACATTGACAAATAAGGTGATTGAAAGAATCAGATAATAAATGAGGTATAGTATGATAATATCTATCCAAATGTTGCTAAAGGAACTGTGTATTATCGAATTCTTTGTTTCATTAATGATGCTCTTGATTAATGAAAATGAAAACAAGCGCAAATTGTCCATAAGATAAATTTTTAATTTTTAGAGATGAATCATTCAATTTTTCGAATGTCAGTCGGACATTGAGTGAACAGATGCACGAATTGGTTCGGGCATTCTCAAGCCGTACACAAAGAGTAAAGGAAAAGACTACATTACCACCTACGCCTACATCATCATCGTCATCATCATCATCATCACTTTCCAGTCTTGAAGTGCAATCAGGTGAGTCACTTTAATTGTAGTTTTGAAATATGTAATATATTTTGAAATATATAAATTAAAACCCAAATAATTTATCACAGTTTGAAAAAATTTTTTTTAAAGTTAATTATTTTCTAAGTGTAGCTTAGAGGTGGCACAAGGTCGAAAGTAAGGGGCACCTAGTCAGTATCGAACTCACTTTTCAGTTGTAACTGATCTAGTGAGACAAGCTTGCTAACCATTACACTATGCTAAGGTGCCCAAAAGTTAATAGGTAATGATCATCAGCTTTTGAGAAATTTATAAAATCTTACAGAATTTATTGTGCTCAACATAAAAAATTTTTTTACTATAGTTACTTGAATGTTGATAATATTGATTATAAGTATTTCTTGTTCCTGTTACATTTCTAAATAGATATTCAATTTATAATATTTTTTAGCAAAACTCTCTTAATTTCTTTGTTTTTGTATATAATTATAAGAAGTAAACTATTTTTAAGATCAATTATAAATATTTAATGACTTAATAATTCTAACTAATTCATTATTCTGCATTATTTTGTTTGGCTATAGTAAATAAATTTGAAAAGGAATGGAAAATCAGTGAACTGAGATATGTATATGTATCTGAAGAAGTAGATGAAGAGAGAAAAAGTTCACAACCAGATTGTTCAAATTTATATTTCTGGTGACTGAAGTTCTTTTAAATTCTATCAAAATTGATTCATAACCAATATTTATTTGATATCTGAGACTCTAGGATTATAGAAATATCTGCACTGCATTTACTGTTTTTTATACCATAAATTCCAAATAATAAGACAAACTCAAAATGAATGGCAATGGTAAAAGGAGACACAATTCTGCTAATTTGAGACTCATTAATTCCTTATTCAAAGCAGTTCTGCTAACCAATATAGTGTGATATTATTATTCTAGGCAGCATTTTCTGAAAATCATAATTGGGATATGGCTAATAGTAAAAGAGCATGATGTCAAGTTTATATGAGGAAATCTAAGAACTGACTCTGTGGAAAAAGTCAAGTTGTTAAGGAGTCTTAAGAGAAAACAAAAATATTTGTTTTATTTAAGTAAATTATAATTACAATGCAGAAATATTTTATGGAAGACGACAATAACTATTCAAATCATTATTCAAATAATTATTCAAATTGGATTGACAAAATGGCAGATTTTCACTTGGCTTCAACCATAGATTCATTGCAAAGTAGATACTCATGAAAAAAGAAACAATTTGATGACAAAAAAGTTTAATCAATTTTCATAAAATTTATATTATGGTATATAGGTTGGGCTAATACATAAGTAAAGGCATTAAACACGATTGCACTCAAGAAGTTAGGAAATTCTATTCAAACAGACATAAAGCCTCAAACCATTCAGTTCACTGCTACGGCAGATACAAGGGTGCAAACAAATACAGCTGGGGAGGATCTGTTGAAGAAACTCGGATGCAATCATAACCAGTTATTGCATACTAGACACCATTTACATGCTCTAAATGATGAGAACCCTACCTATCAAAGGGGCCTTAATCACCACAATATCACTGAAACATGCTCAGAGATAATCTACATTTGTCCAAGAGTTAAGGGCTTATACCTATCACAGATGACCATAAAGAGGTTGAAGTTCATCGACGACAACTTTCCAGTGCAACTTAGTACTAAAGTAGCCACCACAAAACAAAACAAAAAACCAACTGATGGCACATTAGCCCCATGCTGATGTCCATACTGAACACCCTGCCCGCCACTACCAGACAAACTATCACTTCCTGCTACACCTGAATATTGTGAGGAGCTAGAGAACTGGATCAAGTGTCACTTTGTCAGCAGTGCATTCAGCACATGCACACTCCAGAAGTTGCAGATCATGACAGGAGAGACACTTACCATCTCGTTTCTAGAAAACTACCAACCAACAGCCATACATAAACCAATTCCAGTACCCCACCACTGGAAAGAAGCTGTCAAGTTACAGCTGGATGCCGATGTTGCTCTAAACATCATAGAACCAGTCTTTGCTGGAACACCAACAACATGGTGCTCCAGAATGATTACAGTTCCCAAAAAAAGATGGCAGCCGACGTAGAACAGTCGATCTGCAGGACTTGAATATGGGAGACACACCATACACCCTCTCCATTTAAACTTGTCAGCACGATACCACCAGGTAAGAAGAAAACCATTCTTGATGCCTGGAATGGATACCACAGCGTGCCCCTCTCTGCAAAGACATGTGTTGCCACCACATTCAGCACGGAATGGGGCAAATACTGATATTTGCGGGCTCCTCAAGGCTTTCAAGCATCCAACAACAGCTACACAAAGGAATTTGATGATGTTACAGAGGGTTTCTCCTGTGTAGCCCACTGTATAGATGATTCCATTTTATGGGATGGCAATGTAGCACTATCATTTTGGCACACTATTAAATACATCATGCTTTGTGCTGACAAGAGGATCGTTTTCATCCAGACAAATTTCATTTTGCAAAAGACAATGTGGAATTTGATGGTTTCGACATCAGCCCAACAGGGTATAAACCATCTCAGAAATTATTTGGGGGCATCAGAGACTTTCCATCCCTGACAAATATAAGAGGGGTTAGATCTTTTTTTGATCTTATTAACTAGATCTCATATGCATTCACCCAGGCACCCATCATGTCACCTTTCAGAGAACTGCTTAAACATAATGGCAGATTTTTCTGGAATGACACCCTGGAACAACTTTTTCAGCAATCCAAAGAAGAAATCCTAAACAGCATCCAGGATGGTGTTAAAACATTCAAGATAAAACATGCCTGACCATGAATTAGAGTTGAACAGGAATAGAATTTACCCTACTCCAAAAGCATTACGAGTGCCCATCTACTGCAAACCACCTTTGTGGATCAAACCATTGGAAGGTTGTATATGCGGATTCTCAATTCACTAAACCTGCTGAAAGCTGTTATGCACCCATCAAGGGAGAAGCATTAGCCATAAAGTTTGGCTTGGAAAGCTGCAGAATGTTTGTCTTGGGCTGTCCCCACCTGATACTCGCTTATTGATCACAAACCCCTTGTGCTAATATTTAATAATCACAGCTTAAGCAAAATTAAGAACCCCAGGATATTAGACATGATGGAAAAGACCTTGATGTACCAATTCAAGGCTATATCCATAACCGGCAACACCAATGGTGGGGCAAATGGTATGTCTCATATCCCTGCACCTATCATCAAAGTTGCAGCAGTTGATTCAGACTGTCTAGAAAAGGCAGTGCAAGCTGGAATAGAATCCCAGTACAACTAAGAAACATCCCCATCAAAATGGAACAAATACGAGAGCCTTGTGGAAACAATTGAAAAGGGCTTCCTTGAACATAAGAAACATCTACCCCACCACATTGATGAATTCTGGAATATGCAGAATGATTTGTATACAGTTCAATCACTAGTTTTCAAGGAAGGATGTGTATTAATTCCAAGAAAACTACAACTTGAACTCATCATATTGGCCACCAAGTGGTTAATAGCATGAGAAACAATGCCAGACAAGGTTTCTTTTGGCCTGGTATGGGAGCACAACTGCAAGAAAAATGAAATCAATGCAAATGTTGCAATGAAATTGCTCCATCAAATCCTAATGAATCTGCATTCAAGCCTATTCACCCAGACTACCCTTTCCAATCAATGGTCACAGACATTTTCAATATGGCTGGATGTAAATATATGGTATATGCTGACAGGTACTCAGGTTGGACGGAAGTAGCTTTGATGCACCAAGATGCAAAAGCCTCCCCAATATGCAACATCTTATGCAGGTACTTTGTAAATTATGGTGTATCAGAGGAAATTGCTTGTGATTGTGGACCTCCATACAACTCGGAGGGATTGAAGAGATTTTTAAGAACATGGGGTGTATCCCAGTGAGTGCCCTCAGCTTATTATCCACAAAGCAATGGCAAAGCTGAGGCAGCTGTCAAACACATGAAATGGATACTTGCAACAAACATTAGTCCCAGCAGTTCACGAGATACAGATGAAGTGGAAAAAGTGCTCCTACTGCATCGCAACACCCCACCACTTGATTTAGGTGCCTCACCTGCAAGAATTCTGTTTGCTTGTTCCTTAAATGACCACCTGCCGAACCCCATAAAATTCTGCCATGAATGGTTGAAGCTTGCTGATATGTGTGAGAGGGCCATCAACCAGTGATTTGTTAATAACACCAAGCATGCCAAGAGTAGGCTATTAGACCCACTGAAGTTAGGGGAACATGTGTCTATTCAAAACCAAAATGAAAATAACCCTCTGCACTGGGATAATACTGCTACAGTTGTTGAAACCCTCCCTTACAGACAATACTGCATATTAGTTGATGGCAGCAGACAAACCACATTCTGAAACCACTGCTTCCTCTGCAAAATAAATGTAGACCAAGAACACCCAACCAAGAACATTGATGAAAAACGAACCCCTACAACACCAAACAATAACAAAATCAGTACAAAATAAGGGACTGGAGGTGAAGTCTAGACCCGTTCATAACAGATGACTGCCTTCCAGATTTAAAGATTTTCAGCTTCAATAAGCAGATCTTTCACACCTTTTAAAAAAAAAAAAAACATGTTAACATAATACCCTAGTTATGTCCCTTTAACCATCACTCCCTAGAGAAGGAGATAAAAAGGGACACTGTTATGGTGTATGTTCAATAAAGAATACATGTGGCACAAGCCTTTGATTTAAATGTCTATCCTGTGTTGCATTTTCCATCCTGTTAAAACATTTCCTAGATATTTAAATTTTTGTCCCTGCTTGATTTTAGTATCTCCAATATGTAATTTACATGTTGGGCTATTCCTTTTGCTGACAAATATACATTCTGTTTTCTTACAATTGATGTTTAGTCCTTTCTTCTTGCTTTCCTTTATTACCTTCCTATAATTTCCTTTCTGTGTCTGCTATCAACAATGGTGCATGTGTCCAATACTACTACTGATAAAAATTATCCTGGACATTGGTCATACAACTACAACCCTAGCATATGACTAACATACCACTTATTAAATAATAGTCCCATAAAAATCCATATCGCTAACCAACTTTACAATAAAATGAAAATCTTACTTGTAAAGTCACAAAAACTATACAACTATATTGCAAAAATGATTACAAATATTAAAAGCAATAATTATAAAAAAAATCAACATACAATAAACAAAATATCATTCAACAGAGGACTTAGTATTTTAAATATTTTAACAAAAAAATCATAGAATTATTAATGTCATAAAACTGTTTGAATATCTAATAAAAAACAATCAAATTCAAAATTTGACATCACAATATGTGAGATGATAAGAAATTAAGATTATATTATAGCATTAAAAAAAATAAGACAATAAAATCTATCAAAATAAGATACCAGAGAAAGTGAAGATTTACAATGATTGAAAAGTCTTACTCCCTGAAGATTGCCAAAGTAAGTAAAAATACTGAAACAATATCAATAAATATATTGTTGGAAAATCTAAGAAAAGCACCTAAATTTCTTCTTTTTATGTTGTGCGTGTGTGCATATATATATATGTAGTCATCCACAGACAGACTGTATCACAGCTCATCAGTGTGGCTAGACATCTGGTTGCCTCTAGCTAGGATCGAAACCCAGCTGAATTGGTGTCAATCAGAGAATCTACTCCTACACACCAGAAATGAAGATAAATTTAAGCGTATTTATTTTTAGATAAACATATATATACATATATATATATATATATATATATATATATTAAGAAATGGACAAAGTCCGACAATTTATTTATTAAAGACATTTTTATGTTTAACGTTCTTTTTTATAGATACAAGTATTTAAGTAAATGCTCTGTTTATAATAAACAGTATTAAATAACATTTACCGGCCTGAATGTCCGAGAAATTTTCATAGAAAATATTCGTCCTTTGACAGAATTCGAACCTGCATCCTATACGGAACTGTCATTTACGCTCACGTGCCTAACCTCTCGGCCACAAAGGAGCGTTCGGTAGGCAAGGTCGAATTTACTGCTTATAAACTTCAATCTTCCATGAATCTCATACATTCATAACTGCTCTGGCGTATCAAATGTGACATCATATATTAAGAAATGGACAAAGTCCGACAATCTTGTACATTCATAACTGCTCTGGCGTATCAAATGTGACGTCATATATTAAGAAATGGACAAAGTCCGACAATCTCGTACATTCATAACTGCTCTGGCGTATCAAATGTGACGTCATATATTAAGAAATGGACAAAGTCCGACAATCTTGTACATTCATAACTGCTCTGGCGTATCAAATGTGACGTCATATATTAAGAAATGGACAAAGTCCAACAATCTCGTACATTCATAACTGCTCTGGCATATCAAATGTAAACAAATGACGTCATATATTAAGAAATGGACAGAGTCCGACAATTTATTTATTAAAGACATTTTTATGTTTAACGTTCTTTTTTATAAAAATGTCTTTAATAAATAAATTGTCTTTAATAAATATATATATATATATATATATATATATATATGAGAGAGGAGGAGGGGGTAAATAAAATATCTACCATATTTGAAACCCAAAATTGAAAAGCAATATGTGATATAAAGGATGTTTTTCTATTTTTATTAACAATTCAAACACCAAGTAAAATTAATATTTCTTATCAGATGAGTCACCATTTTTTATGCAAGTTTATAATCTTTCATAAAAGTTTTAAGTAGCATTTAGAAACATTTCAATGAATTTCTTTAAAATATGAAGTGTTTTAGGTTTTACATAGTAAACTGCAGTCTAATTATAGTGCCTGCCCAAAGTCAGTGGTTCCACTCTTTGAAACCATTAATTTTTAAATTTTTTTATCTCAAAATCTCTCCGATGATATGTGAATAATATGCAAGTGTAGCATCCCATTGAAAGATTATTGTTTATAAAGTTCTTCTGGAGAGTTGTGGAATAAAACAATAAAGAAAAGTCTGTAAATTCTTGCTGATGACAACCCTATCCAAATATTTACTTTTGGCCCTGAGTAACATTTACCATTTACTTCTGTTGGCAGTTCACTGACCCACCAAAACATTTTATTTATCATTTGATTTGTTAATAAAAAAAATTATTTTATAGTTCATTTTACTTCTTTTTTTTTTTTTTTTTTATTTCAAATGAGTGTGCGTGTGTTTTCAATTTCAGTTCAATCAAAAGATGAGGATGAAGAAGAAGGATCTTCAAGGCAGCAGAATTTAGGATCCTTTTTACCTATAAGTTCACAGGGCAGTGGCTCTCTATCCACTACAAAAAGTGATCAACTAATACAACTTGGCTGCTGCCAAATCAAATTGCCAAAATGTCTCCAGTGCCTTAAGTTTCCTGAAATTCTGGATCCCCAGAGTAAGTATGTTTGAATTATTTGTTTAAACTCATGAATTTTTAACATGTGACAATTTCGTTACAATTCTAAATGCCATTAATATAAGAAATTATATTAATATATTAAGCGGTTAAGTAATATTCAAGTATTTTCATAGAGTTTTTGTCCGTTTTTTTTTTCTTTTCCTAAATCTAAACTTAATATATATATATATATATGTATGTACAGAGCAACCTTGGTTTTCAACCCTAATTTGTTCTGAAAGTCTGTTTTAAAACCAAATTGTTCAAGAACAAAAAAAAAAACAAAAAGCACAGTACAATAAAATTGGAAAAGAAAAGGACAACACATCACTTAACTCAGAAATGATTCTGTTTGGGTTAACTCAGTTCGACTCAATTTGGTAATGTTTGAGAACCAAAATTTTATTCGATAACCAAGGCATTTTCATCTCAAATTTTCCCTTCAAAAAACAATTTGTTTGACACGTGAGACATTCAAGAACCAAAGTTGTTCTGTATATATATATATATAAAGAAATATAGTCTTAAAGTGTGCTATATTTATGTAATAAAGTGCTAAATATCAGAGATAGAGCATGTGTAAATATAAAAGTGAACATAGAAGTCAACACTTAGAGGCGATAGTCTGTTTCATGCTATATGCAATCGTCAGGCCACATATGCTGTTATTTTTCTTGGCTATTTATATATATACGGGTTCGTGGCGCATTGTGGGTATTCTATTATGGTGGTTATTTTACCGGAAGTCGTTTGTTTATTTATTTGGGTCAAATTATATTGCTCGTTTTTATTCTTTTGTTTCTTATTTTATTTATTTATTTATTAATTTGTTTATATCACTTATTTAACAGTTTTGTTTTGGTTTGAGAATTTGATTGAAGCTATTTGTTCAATTTTGGGGTTGGTTGTTGTAGTTCATTCTAACTATTATTTTGGCGGGAACAGTTTTTAATATGGGATTGGTTTGTCTATTTATTTACTTGGATGAATTTAGGTCAATTTATTTGTATATTTTCTCCAACCAAAAATGAATTATTAAATAAAAGATCCAAGCTCATCTCAAAATGCAGGCATGAAAATAAATTTTTACTATGTAACCTAAAAAAATGAAAAACGGAAAAAATAAAATAAAAACAAATATATACACTAATAAAAAAATAGAAAAAAAATAAAATAAATAAATAAATACTATGTTGCTTAAAAACTGAAAACCGAGAAAATATACAAATAAATTGACCTAAATTCATCCAAGTAAATAAATAGACAAACCAATCCCAAATTAAAAACTGTTCCCGCCAAAATAATAGTTAGAATGAACTACAACAACCAAGCCAAAATTGAACAAATAGCTTCAATTAAATTCTCAAACCAAAACAAAACTGTTAAATAAGTGATATAAACAAATTAATAAATAAATAAATAAAATAAGAAACAAAAAAATAAAAACAAGCAATATAATTTGACCCAAATAAATAAACAAACGACTTCCGGTAAAATAACCGCCATAATAGAATACCCACAATGCACCACTAACCCGTATATATATATAAATAGCTGAGAAAAATAACAGCTTATGTGGCCTGATGATTGCATATAGCATGAAACAGACTGTCGCCTCTAAGTGTTGACTTCTATGTTCACTTTTATATATATATATATATATATATATATATATATATGCCCTTTTTTGTTGATGGTGACAGCAGCAGAAAATAAGTTATCTTAAAACACAGTGACACTAAAACAACCAAAGCATGATCACATAAACTGAATAACATTTTAAATAAGTACTTGAACACGGATGCATTCAAACTATCATTATCTTTTGCCATTAAGTTTTATGCTGTGCTTAATAAAGGATTTTTAATGAATTCTTTTGAGTAATTATGACATTTTCATACATTAGAAAATGTTTGTCATTGATAATTTTATGTCAGTTGTTTAGCTGATAATCCATTCGTCAAGTATTAAATAGAATTTTAGTATATAGAAGTCAAATATGATTCTCTCTAGCATTTCCTACTTTTTTTCATGAACAACTTTTAAAGGAATTAATTAGATTACCACAGCTTTTATGATTAGGTTATATTCTATCATTGTCTTTTTCTTACAGTTTGACTTAACAATTTAAGAAAGAAGCAGTTAAAATGTTGCAATGAAGTCAACAAAAACAAAAAATACTAGTCAAAACTAATAAAAAGTATATGTAAGAAGCAACATTTAGAAATTTCCTCAAAAGAATAAAATAAGATAAACTCCCTAATTTTATGCTAGTATATATAAACATATTAAGTGCATGTAAGTGATAATAATCTTAAGCCTAAAATTTTTGCTTTCATCTATCTATCTGTCTATTTATCTGAAATTGATTTATGATAAACATTGATTTTCTCTTTTCAGGTAAACTTTACATGTCTTGGTTAGCATTAGTAACTCTTGCCTTTTTATATAACTGCACTGTGATACCACTGCGAGGAGTATTTCCATATCAGAATCCCACCAATTTATATTACTGGATGATTTTTGACTATATTTGTGATTTCATTTATTTAATTGATATCATACTTTTCAAATCAAGAGTACAGTTTGTCAATGAAGGATTATTAGAGGTAAGTATATTCACTTGCTTATATAAAATTACAATTTATAATATTTTCATGATTGATATGGCTTATATTACAATTAGATGAAACTGAATTATCCAGCTTGATATATATTAGTCAGAATCTTACATGAAAGAAAGTACACATTTTTACATTAAATAAAGTATAGATTTTTGTTTTTTTTTATCTTCTATAGAAAATAGTTTTTAATAAAAAATATTCATAATGTAGAAGTTTAAAAGAAAGTAAACTGAAATGCTGCTTAAGTAAAAATCACCTTCATTTCTATATTTTTGTTTCTTGTGGGGATTCACTCACATCATAGCAGCAGAAATTAGTCATGTTTACATAGATAAAAGCATACTTGACAGGAAATAAGACATACAGAAATAACAGGAAAAGCATGGTAAATTGGATGTTAATTTCATACAATTTACTTATATTTTTCGTCTGTATTGGTGTGTGTATTTTTTAGGTTACAATTATTTTATGGTACATGTGATAAAAGGGAGAATTTACTCCATAGTATTTCAAGCCATGTCACAGAAAGAAGTTGGACATGTGTTGCCCGTACCAGAGTTCATGGTGAAGAGGTTGAATTTAACATCTTTTAGTGGGATGTCTGTATTTCTAGCAGGAACAGTTTTTGTTGCATGCTGGGAGTATTTTTATTATTTTTAATTTTTATTTAATTTATTTTATACAATACTTTTATGTTATTGCTTTATTTTATCTTATTTATAATTTTCATTATTATTATTATTACTATTATTATTTTATATTTTATTTTTATTAATAATAATAATATTCCTCCATCCTAATTTTCCTGTATTTTTTGACCACATTTTTAGTTTTAACCAAATTCACTATCTTTTTATAACAGTATTTATGAAGACTAATTTTTCATTACCTTTTTTTACTGTGTTATTTTCATTTTACTAATATCTAAATTTTATTAGATTTTTAAAAATAACTTTATTAGCTAATACAACATAAAAGTCTGTCACATTTACAAAATGTGAAAATGATTAAATTTTTCACCATTGATGTGTCTCTTGAGAATAGATTCATTTCATGACATTACCTTACTTTTTCATTTTGCTTATTCTTTTGTTATTTTTCATATAATACCTATACATATTCTATTTGGATCAAATTATTATATTATCTATTACACTTATATATATATATATATATATATATATATATATATATATATATATATAATCTATGAGGGAGTACTGAAAAGTTCTTGGCCCAACCCACTTTCCAAAATTAATATTTTGATGATCAGAATAATTATTTTAGAAAGTGGGTAGAGACAATGACTTTCAATCCCCACCCCATATATATACTGACATTTTTTTCAGTGGTACTGCCTTAAGGATGTTTAGCAATTTCCATATATATTTCATGTACACTGTTATTACAGATTTAAAAAAGTTTTTCCCCCCTCTTAAGTGAAAAGTTACTTTTTCAATATAACTGAATTTTTCATCACAAATATTCATCAAAAAGACATAAGGCAACAAACTTGATTTTAAGAATCTCTTTAATTGGTCACAACAACTTCAGTTTTGTCTGTCAAATTAAATTTTGAAAATCATTTTTCAGTCATGTGGGTTTTATGTTATAAGTGTAAATCTGTTTATAATAAGACAATAAACATAAGAATATACAACATGATATTGCTGATTTTTGCCATTTATGAAAGTAATGTTTTTAATTCATAGTTTATTTTTAAATCATACATTATTTGTTGATTATTCAGCCAAAATTTCATTTCAGTCATTTTACTATATATTTAGAAACAAATATGGAAAGCCTTTAACTCATGATTTTTACAGTCTATGTATGAGATCAATTGTGTCATATGGAAATCAAGTTGTCAGAAATATATTTGAAGATAATACTCTTTATAAACAATAAGATTTTGATTCTAAAAATTTGCAAATGGAGATTTCAGCAATGAAAATGAGGAAAGCATTCAGTTAGAACTATTGATGGAAAGAAAGATTAAGAAAATCAGTCAAAGAATTTGCTCCAAATTTCATTTTATTTATTGGAATTATTAAAAATTCTTTAAGGGTGATTGGCAAATGCTCAATAAATGTTCCCTATTTGAATTACATATTAATTCAAAAATTAATTATTTTTTACATCATCACTTGTAATGAAAAATGAATACATTTATAATAAACAAAAATTCACAAGAATGAATGCATCTTCAGAAATTTTGCCATGATTAAAAAAAAACATAAACTGAAAACAGAAAACTAAAATGGTCAGATGGCTGAAAAGAATTTGCAAGCCATTTTTTGGGTTATGTTATAACTCACTCCTAGGAGTTATAATATTATGTCTTGCTTAGGCTACTCACTGTAACATCACTAGAAATTCTCTTTGACTGACTCCAACGAACTTCCTTTGACTCACTTTGAGTTCTTTATTTAAGGCATCATGTCTAGTTCATTTGTGTTACCACAGGTGTCTTATTTACTCTACAAGAGGTTGTCTCACATCTTCACTATCTTCATGCAAATGTTAACATGATTTCAAGCCATGAAAGAATGCAGAAATTCAATCTAAGACATTTCACAATAGTGGTGCTGTTGAGAAAAAAGTATTTTAATATTAGCAGTGGGACCTACATCTTACCATCCTTGAGTTAAATGGAAAAAGATGACAGAGAATGTCATTGCCTATTTATAGGTTTAGGGAGTGTCCCCTAGCAGCATATATTTTAGGAAAGTAAGTGGGTTAACTCCACAAGCCAAAAAGAACAGGTGACATAAAAAAAATATCTATTTTTCTGTAGTAATCTTATATAAATTATTTGATTAGTGTTAAATAAGTAATCTCAATAATGTAAAACAAGTAGATAAATAATCTCTATATCAATTGATAAAATGATTGGCAAACTTATCTCAAAAAATCCATGGACATTGGTAATCTGGAATCCCTGAGAAATGCAATACTGTATGACTTTCTCTTGTACTGAAAACTAATTTCACTTAAAAGAACTTTATAAATTGCCAAATTAAATGCGTTGTTTGATGATGTCATTGTATTGATTTATATTGCTCTACTCCCAAACATGCAGCAAATATAATTCTTTTCTTCTTTTTTTTATTTGCAGACAGATAAAAAAATTATAAGGAAAAAATATTTTATGGGACGCATGTTTAAAGTAAGTAATTATTATTTATCATTTTCTTAATGAATATTTTGTAAATTCAGTGTTTGATATTTTCTATATGTTTTCCATATTCTATATATTAAACTGCATTTTAAAATTAATTCTTGCATTATTGCTTAACTGGGCAGAAATCAAGTCAGATATTATCACCATAATTTATACCAAGTATGATATTGTTATGGTCCAGGTTAGGACCAAGGAAGAACAACACGAACACAAGAGTAGAAATAACGAAAGTATATTACATGAAATAATAATACAAGATGTGGAAGGTGTTAGTATGACTGTCAGTCTGGTTTGGAGTGAACTACTATCGGCTTGACTCGATTCGTCCCTTTCTTTTGAGAGGTGTAGTATACATAGCGTTAGGAAGAGTTCATTCTGTAGTCATTGGTAAGGACCCATGACAGATATGAAAAGTTTTAAATTAATAAACTTCTACACTGTACAAATTCACACTCTTGAAATATTTTACTGTACAGAGGTTTCCGCCACCCCAACAGTTATCAACAGTTTCACTGTGTCTTGGTGAAGCCCAGAAAAAAACAATTCATAAGTTTTTCTTAATAATGGTAGCAAAACATAAAAATAGTCAGGCTAGCAATTCAGACATGCCAAGCTGTACAGTGCTTCTTTTAAGTAAAAATGTGAAATCTCTTGACGTAATAAGGAGAGAAAAAATGACATGCTGTGGTTTCTAAGATATACAATATGAAAAAATAGAAAGAAGCATATGGAAAATCAAACAACTATGGATTTCATGTAAGACTCCCAGACAAAAAAGCTAGAGATAGATATAATCTATTTTACTGCTATTTAGATTGTTAAAGTATATTTGGTCATTTACATAAAAATTTAACTTATTGACATTGTGGGTGGTTATTCACTCACATCATGGCAGCAGAAATTAGCCTTGTGGTCACAAAGATAAAAGCATACTTGACAGGAAATAAAACATACAGAAATATCAAGTAAAGCATGGTAAATTGTATGTTAATTTTATACAATTTATTTATATTTTTGTGTATATTGATGTGTGTATTTTTTAGGTTACAATTGTTTTATGGTACATGTGATGAAAGGGAGAATTTACTCCATAGTATATCACAAAGAGAAGTGGGACACGAGTTGCCCATACCAAGGTTCATGGTAAAGAGGTTGAATTTAATGTCTTTTGGCAGGATGTCTGTATTTTATTCATTGTTTTATTTTATTTATAATTTTCATTATTATTATTATTTTATATTTTATTTTTATTTATTTATAATAATAATAATATCCTTACAACATAAATACTCAGTAGGCATTTACAATACCAAAAATGGGAAAAAATGAGGTTAGGGTTACATTATATATGAAATTAGAACTGAAATCTACAATATGAACCACATTTCTAATAGGTACAAAAGTTTCTTACTGTTTATTTAGTCTTGTTTATTTGTTTTTAAAAGGGGTCCAGAAGACTATTAGTGAATATGCCATGAAGACTTTTATTTTGCAATTGAATATTTGTATTAATCTAATGAAATTTTATTTAACATGTCATTTTAAAATATATTATTATAGTTTTAATTTCTGGAACAATATATTTCTTACCTTTCATCATATCTTATTTATTTTCAGTCTGATTTAGCATCTTTATTACCTCTAGATTTGTTTTATCTAATGCCTGAAGTTCATTTCAATAGTTGGCTTCGGTTGCCAAGAATGTTAAAGGTGAGCATTTTTCTATGTTTTGAAGCCATACTCTTGTTTATTGAATACAAACTAGAAATAACTTTTTAAAATTCATTAATTTATTTGAATAATTATCATTTCAAATATTTTGCAGCAATAAATTTTTATTATACATCTTTCTTATATAAATAACTGAACAATATTTATCAGTTAGTTTGTTCTGGAAAATATATAAATAAGTATAATAAATGTACCACAGCTTTATTAAATCATTTCATTTTTTTTTCTTCCACTCTAATTAAATTTCAGCTCTTAGTAGATTGGGGGAAAGGATGAAGGTAATAAAATAATTTACTGAAACATGAAAACTTACCAGTCTGCATTCAAAGCTTCTTGTCCAAAGATTGGTGTGTGTGTGTGGGGGGTCAATTGAAGGTGAAGGAAGGGGAAATAGATACAGAAGTTTTTTTGTACTGCAACAAATTTTTTTCATAAATGTGATCTTTTAACAGTCAATAAGGAAAAATAATTTCATCCAATGTTTTTTAAAAATGTACACTGATATGACAGCTGTCACAATAGACATTTTTTTTAATTATGTTAGTTAAAACTAAATGTTTCTAATACCAAAGTACCAAACACTTCATCCAAAGTAACTTTCTTTCATTACCCAATATTATTTCCTGGGCTATGAAATTTCAAGAATACTTCAGTCTCATGTATTAATGTTTCTTATTCTAAAGAAATTTATTTCCTCATTCAAAAGTTACCACAGAATGACATTAAAGATAAGCTATTATTACTTAATATTTAGAAACTAGTATACATACTGATGGCAAAATTATATAAGAATTTGTATATAGTTGATTGATGGTAAAAGTTTAGTTTTTAATTTTTTATTTGTAGATATTAACATTTTGGGAGTTTTATGATCGCTGTGATAAGGCTGCAAGATCTGCTCATGCAGTAAGGTATGAATTATTTTTTATTCTTTTCTTTTTCAAAAAAATAACTTTACTAAATTTGTGTTAAAATAGGCTCGACAGATATCTTTGATTTGAAGTTTGAATTAGAGAGTTCTATCATTTTACCACCAGTAACTAGAATTGTAGAGTCAGCAGGGGCTATGCTGTTTTGTAGAATGTAGACTATATTTTAACTGTATTTTACTATTTTTTAACTGTATTTTACTATTTTTAACTGTATGTATGTGTATATATATATATATATATATATATATATATATATATATATATATATATATATGATATAATGGAATATATATTCTACTTGTGTTCCTCCTCACTGGAATATGATTGGTTGGTGTCCATCAAAATATATCCGGACATGTAGGAGAGTCAAAAGCCTTATCTGAGATAAGTCTATAATGATGCACATTGGACTATGCCATTGATCTACACTTCTTTCCTGGACTACAACGTGTATATATATGATTACTGCTACCATATTCTGTCCTGGTTGTAGATAAACCACTTGAACCAAATATCAACCATAGTAGAATATGGTAGCTAGTAATCAAATATATCCCTTTCAGGACATATCAAGAAGTATAGATCAATATATATCCATATATATCATTATAGACTTATCAATCAGACTAAGGCTACTCTATACATGTCCGTCGGTATTTATGATGGACACCAACCAATCATATTCCAGTGAGGAGGAACACAGGTGTATGCATATTCCATTATATCAATATATATATATATATATATATATATATGTCCAAATGTGGGAAAAAACAGATGGGGTAAAATTCCACAGTTCATAGCATTTATTTTTAAAAATAGTGCTCAATACAAAGTAGAGTAAAATATTATTATAATATTTTTATTATAATAAATTACAATAAAAACATTTTACATCACTACACAAAATTACATTAGTTATCTATCATCACCTGAAGAGGTACCATCTTAGTACCGAAGCATGAATGTTTTTGTGTAGCAATGTAAAATGGTTTTAATGTAATTTATTATAATAAAAGTATTATAATATATATATATATATATATATATATATATATACTTAAAATACTATCACATGGACAAAGTCTTATTACTCAAGACACAAACAATAGTTATACTTGATCATATGTGTTATTTTGTTTCTTATCTTCAGGTTGGTTAATGTGGGTGATCACTTTGACTTTCTTGGGATCTAGTTTTATTCTATCTCTTGATATTATGTGGCTGAAGAAAGGTATCTCTGTTGTCTGTATCCTCAAGGTTGAACATGCAGTTTATTTTCTTAGCTGTTTTGGGGAGTTTGTTAAGCATGGTGTCATGGTTACTGTCATCTTCCTCAAATTCATATACAATGGTACCAAGAGAACATTTTTGGTTTTGACAAAATTTTCAAACATTTCTCTCCAGTATTCATCTTGGGCACATTCACCCCCATCGGCAATCTATTGAAAAGAAATCATCCAAATAGAGTAATGAAAATTGACAGTTCCTTTGATTATTGATCGAGCTTCATCTGCCAATATCCAGACTTCACATCAACAGTTGTAAACTATTTAGCCCCATGTAGCTGGGAGACTACATCTTTAAATGTAGGTGTGGTGTCTTTGTATGGCTTTATTTAAGTCCTTTGAGCCAAGGCATAATCTAACTGATCCATTTGCTTTAGAAACACATACAAATTAATTTACACATGAGGTGGGTTTCATGAAGGATAATATAATGTCTTGCTTCATGAAAGAATCCAATTCTGCCTTAAATTTATCTCTTAGAGATACTGAGACTCTTCATGGCAGGTGAACAACTGGCGGTATTTTGGGAGCGGTGTTTATGGTATATTCCCAAGGTAGACATCATATCCCATCAAATACATTGAGGAATTCTGTCAGGATTTGTTCTCATGTTCTGAGATTTTGTTTAGGTGGTAGTTCTGATAGAGTTAATCCCACTTTTGACACAATGTTTAATTTTCTGTCTGAGTTCAGTGCAGAGACGAGATAAGTATGTACACACATGTTTATTGCTTGTAGGGTGGCATAGAAAAGAAAGAAAGGTTAGTATATTGAACTAAGAAATTTAATGCTCCTTACTCAAGAGTTTCTATCAAGGGAGATTACTAGGTAATATAAAAATATAATGCATCTATTTTTAGAAATTTAATAAAAATTAATGCTGAAACACAGTTGCTCTTACTTGAGTTATAAAACATTTACTTCATTACTACTTTATATTGTATCCCTACATATATATCATAATAATTATTTAATCTAGGATGTTCCCTATTTAATTACTAGAATTATTTATTATTGTATTTCATCTTTATCTTTATTATATGTACACATCCTAATGAGTTTGTGTCCAGTCCACTTCAAATGTGGCCTGTTGTAGGACTGTCAACTGGTGAGAAAACTGATTAAAATATAAAAAAAAGAATAGTCATTCTTACCAATATTGTTATTTACTAAGTATAGTTGTAGCCCAAGGCCACAAGTATGGAGCACCCATTGAAGTTTATACTTTCCACTAATGATCTACAAGTTCAGTTTGGTAACAATTACATCATGATGAAGCACTCAGATCTTACCAATGTTATTTAAAAATTATAAAACTGATTTTAAATTTCGTATTCATTTTTAAATTTATATCTTGAAAGTATAGTTTTATACAATGCATTATTTGCATTTATATTCAACAATATTTTATTCTGTTTTACTTAATTAAATCCTCAATTATATTGAGTTACACATAAATTTTTATCAAAAATAGGTAATCAAATAAATATGATAAAATGAAGTGACATGCTAAAAGTCATGGGATATCAATATGCAAGAGCAATGGTAGGTACCTTTAGATCATGGAAATGTCTCGACTTACACCATTTGTTCATGATAATAAGTACCAGACGGATAGGACATTCCATTTCTGAAATTGTGAGGATATTTAACATCCTTTGATTTATATCATCTCTACGTACCAGGATAGAAGGCATTACATTCTACAGTCTTTAATGATCATGGCCATGGAGATTTCTAACTAGAATTGTCTGCAGTAACAGACAAATGACACTCAAGTCATATTCATATTCAATGCAGGAGATACCAGATAGCTATCCATCATATCAATCCAGTGTTTTCTTTAGCTTCAATGGGATATCAGAGCAGAAGACCCACTGTTAACACCATGTCACCAGACACAGCATCTCATCTGGGCTCATAACATGGTTATTGCACCCTGGAGTACTGCACCATGTGACATGGTCAAATGAGCCATATATATTAGGGTTTGGTTATGGTGCAGACCCCATGAAACCATACACCTCAGTTGCTAACAAGACACTGTAGAGATTGGTGATGGTTTCTTAATAACATAGTGTTTGTGAGACATAGGTTGGGTCCATTGGACATCTAAGCATGTCATTAACTGGTAACCCACTATATTGCACTGCAATTATATTATTTTCATCTATCAGGAACTCCATGTACTCCAATGAATTATTCCAGCAAGATAATACATCACACTATTAGTCTTAAGTTTCCCACAATTAATTTGAGGAACATTCTGGAGATTTACAACAAATGGTGTGATCCATATTGTGACTTACAACAAATGATTTGCTGAATATGATCCTAGTTAAGCATTTATAGGGTATGGTGGAGGGGGGTCTATTTGTACACAAGATCCTACACCTAAGATATTAGAGATTTGCAGACTAATATTGAAATGGCTTGGTGCAACTTTAATCTAGAAGTCTTTAAACATCTCTAAAGTTGCTGCACTTCACTAGGTTTGGTGTCTTATGCAGCACTAGATACCTATCCCATGGCTTTTGGAATATCAGTAGAATAAAAAATTTTAAAATAAAAATGCAGAATTTTTTAACTAATACAATAATTTTTAAAAAAACTTAGGTTGTACAACTTTTCTCATTTTAAACACTAAACTATTATATAAATTGATTATTTTAAAAAAGATTATATATTAAAATATTCAACATATATTTTTTCCAGAATTATCAAGACTATGACTTACATGCTGTTTCTTATCCACATTGAAACATGTGGTTATTATGCAGTTTCTGATTATGAAGGAATTGGTACAAACAGATGGGTTTATAATGGCTCAGGAAATGCGTTCGTATATTTTTTCATATTTCGGGAACAGTATATTACTATTTGCTTATTCTCATTAAGACAGTGAATACATTGCCTTACTCTATTGAATAAAGGGTTTTGGAAAAATTATAAAACTTTAAAAAAGATGAAGTATGATCACAAAAGTAAACTCACAAATGTAATATTAATTATTTTTAATTCAAAATACAATCAAGTCTTCAGAAGTTGATTACCATTTCTTATGTTAGTTAATGTAAAATGTATTTTTTAATTGGGACCTTTTTTTATATTATGTGCAGTATTTGCATGGCAGCCATTTTTAAATCTGCTAATAATATCATTGTATCTTTATATTACAGTAGCTGGCAATTTGATTGATGTTAATGAATAACTGTAGTCAAAGAACTGGGATATTATTAATTCTTATGAATATTTATTTAATACAACTCTATGAATAGAGAAATGCAAATTTAGTTAAAGAATACATTTGACATGTCTACTTCCTTTATTATGCATTTTTCTACAAAAGTAGATAAACTTAATGAAAGTTCATATTATGGCAAACATTTTAACATTTATGGCTAAGATTTTAAAACTTAGAATATGTGATGCCTTATAAAGTTCTCCCCAAAATCTCTTCTGAGTAAATATAGTGAAATCAGCAGAATGCTAATATGTGAAAAATGGCTGAATGAAACTCAATGTTTAAAAAATGTTAGAATACACTCCTATAATTGGAAATAAAACACTTATCATTTTCCTTTTCCATAACATCATCATAACAATTAAAATATTTTTAAATCTCTTAAATCATTTATATAGAGATAATTTTTTTTAAATACTTGAAGCAAAAAAATTTAATCTTAAAATAAAAACAATTCTATGATTTGAAAAATTATTTTTATCTTTCAATGAAAGGAATTTTCATGCTTTCATAAATTTCAAAAGAATCTAGCAAAGAATAGGATAAGCAATCCTCTGTACATTTATACCATATTTGATATGTTATTTTGCTTAGGGAACGACTAATGTTCCCTATAAAGTTTTTATAAAAAATTATATTTTTCATTCAATTGTGATAAAAGATATGGAAGACTGAAGATAGTATGAAAGTTTTAAGTAGCATTGATGGTTTCAAATCATAGTACCAGGTAATAATAATACATAGTTTATAAATTGCATCAAGTCATAACTCCAAGTCATATAATCCAGTGTTTAAGACCAAGCTAGAAAATGACAAGAAGTCAGATTTAAAAAAAAGAAAAATAACAAGACTAATATTTATTTCTGTTTGTGCATTCAATGCATAAGGCTTTTGTCACCAGAATTAATGTTCAGTTGTAGAACTTTTGTAGAGAAACATATAAAGTTGGATTAGGATACTGATTTTTTTTTTTCATCTTATCAATGCAGTTAGGATAATTGTATTTTATATTTGGATATGAAGACATACATGAGCACTTTATATAAAGAATTGCAGGATGTAATGAAATACTTTTATTGAAGCCTAATACTGGAAATAGAAAGGGGTGTAAGACCAGACATATTCAACCTATACATTGAGGCAATTCTGAAAGAATTAGAAGTCCTACCAGGATTCATTATTAGTGGCCATAATCTTAACAATATAAGAGATACAGATGACACAGTGTTGATAGCAGACACAAAAAGGAACCTACAAGAACTCCTACAGAAAGTAGTGAAGGAAAATGAGAAGAAAGGACTAAACATCAATTGCAAGAAAACAGAATGCATAGTTGTAAGCAAAAGGAATAGCCTAACATGCAAATTACAAATTGGAGATACCAAAATCAAACAAGTATGACATATCTGGGAAATATTTTAACAGAAGACAGAAAATGTGAGACTGATGCATTAAGATAGCAAAAGATGCCTTCCAAAAGTTAAGCAAAGAATTAAGAAACAGAAAATTTTGCTAAAAACAAAGAAAAGAGTAATGAACTGCTTTGCAATATCAGTCGTCTCATATGGCAGTGAATGTGGGACAATCTCCTCACAGATGAAGAAGTAACTCGAAACAATAGAAATATGATTCTACAGAAGGATGCTGAGAATAGCATGAACCAAACATGTGAACAACAATGAAGTTTTACAGAAAATACAAACAAAAAGAACACTTGGAAGAGAAAGTTGAAATTTCAAGAGCACACAATAAGGAAAGAGGGCTTGGAAAATTTGATACTCATGGGACAGATAGAAAGTAACAGGAACAGAGGAAAACAATGTATAACCTACCTAGCAAGCTTGAGTAAAGGGATGGTTGGAGCAAATTTTAGGAAAGGTAACCAAAAGACAAAATTTATTAATAGCTAGAAAGGACAGGAAATTGTGGAGAACTATGATCACCAATGTCCTGAAGTGACATAGCACATAGAACAATAAGAGTACTGGAAACATGAAAACTGAGAAGAGAATCTAGGACAGCTCTTTCAAAATCTATCAATTTTATTATTTAATCAGGCTTTGACAATTCTCATATTTCACTTTTCTAAATCCTTTCATTTACATCCCATTTTAGCCTCTTAAAGTGTTCAATGTATTCTTTTTATTCATCATCATAGGTATGATGATCAACTACATCTGGCATCAAGGCCTTTGATCAAGATATTGGAGGATTTGAGGAACATGAAACCACCTTTTAACTGTTATTGTTACCAGGTCCACACTCACCTGGAGTGGTAACACCTGTTAGGGTTCCAGCTATGGGAAAATAGTGATCTCCCAAACAAAAATCAACAGTACATTTTTATAATAAAATGACCAACAATTCATTTTATGATCTACAAACTATATATATCTAAAATATGATGAAAGTATAAAATTATGTACAAAATATCTGTAATTGAAAGCATAAAACTAATTATTTAGATCTTGGCATTAAATAACCCATAGAGGTGTTGATATGCCATTAAACAAAATCAACTAACCAATTTTTTGTTGAAGTATCACATAAAGCAGTATTTAAAATTCTGTTTGTCTTTTATCTTCAGTTTCCAAATTCTGTTTATCTTCAGTTGTTGTCTAAAGTTCAGTTAGGACTATTACTAGAGATCTTTTGTCATAGCTTTTCATTGTTTATACAATAATAATTTTGTTTTCAGATAATTTCAGATAATAAAAGCATTTTTCATAAAAAAAGGTTTCTAATTGCAGTTACATTAGGTGCTTTTATTTGGCTACAAAAACTGCAACCTCTATTGGGAACAATCCAAAGCCCACAAACCAACTGGAATTTATATTCATGACTTTTTACTGGCTTTCGGGAGTTTTTGTATTTGCTCTTTTAGTTGGTCAGGTTAGTTTATATTGGAATATTATTCCTCTTTCTTATATATTAAAAATTAAATCAATATTCTGTTTACTGACTCTTATTGATTCTCATATTTTATACACAGAAATATTTTAAAAGAATGAAAATTCAGAATATTAAAGGTTTATTAATAAAGGTTTTCAGCATCAAATTAAAAACGTCAACAAATATTCTAAAAATAATATTATTACAAAATGTAATTTACATTCTTTGATGCTAATTTAAAGAAATCAGTCCTCTCGGAAAGGATATAAAAATATTTTTTTATAAATCATTAAAAAATTAGATCATAATTTGTAGTAATAAAAAAATACTTATTATGTTTTCAGATTGAAAAAGTAGAACTGTACTGGAGGAAAAAAAATGTAAATTTGATTTTAATACGTTAATCATTTTTAAGAATTTGCCCTATAACAAAAAATATATATTTTAAAAGTTCATTTTTCAATGAATTTTTATCTAATTTTTTAATTCAGATCCGAGATATTGTCCATGCTGCTGGCCAAGTGGAAGCTAGTTATCGCAAACAAATGGACATTACATTTTGGTATATGCAGTCAATAAACTTACCAAAGGAAATGCAAGCACGAGTTCGTAATTGGTTCAACTACAATTGGGAGCAACAAAAAACTTTAGGTGAAAATATAAAAATATGTATCCTTTATTGATCTCTTAAATATAATTTACTTGTTTATTCTTTTGAAAATGTTACTTTTACAATTTTAAAATTTATGTAAAATCTCTAATATATTAATTTTAAAATGAAACAGCTTCATTCTCCTACACTACACATGTTACTAATCAACATTGCTTAAGAATAAAGAAAAGCTAAAAACAAATAAAATAAATGTTGCCAGTTAAAGTGCTTTTGTTACTGCCATAAATTCATTTTATATGGATTATAGTGAAAAAAACGGTAAATCTTGGTTTTAACACCCGCGCTAAATATCCCATAAAATTTTCCAAAATCGTCATAATTCCATGTAAAAGTACATGCTGAACTCAAATTAACTAACAAGTAAAAAGTCGGTAATGGCGGACGAAAGAGCAACAAGAAGTCCGATTTATTCTTGTTGTTTTAACTCTAAAACGGTAGGTTTCTTCATAATTTACTTGTTAATTTGAGTTCAGCATGTACACAGAATTATGACAATTTTGGAAAATTTTAAGAGGGATATTTAGCGCGGGTGTTAAAACCAAAATTTACCAAAAAAACTTCATAGACAATTTATTAAAAGTTAAGTTAGGTAAATATTTTTATTTTATCAATTTAAAAATCTAAAATTATTTCATATACTTTGAAAGTTATATGAGTATAAAGAGTATAAAATCAGTATTTTATTTTACAGAAAAACCTTATTTCACCAAATAACATAAATCACTATATCAAAATATAATCCCTTTTATTTTAGCCAATCTTCATATTCTGCATCTTTTATCTTTGTTTACATTTCTGCTTCTTTGAATATTTTTTATTAGTTAATCCATTTTTCTTGCTTATTACACTTTTAATTCCTCTCAAATCCTTTTTTTTTTGTGACATTCGTAAAGCCAGTTTCTTTTCTTGTTTATATCTTGCCTATGTTTACAATTTTTTGTTCCATGATCTTTATTCAACTTTTCACAATTTCCAAAGTTGTGTTCCCAAAACTTTATATCTTGTTTCACTTTTGAAGTCATATTTTTCTTATGACCCCGTTATTGATATTTGTATATTTAAAATTAATAAACAAATATCAATAACTATATGCTATTATTTATTTGCAACTTGAAGGTTCCTCAACATATTGAAAATATCAAAAGGTGATAATGATTTAGGGTGGGATAATTCATGGAAATAATCAACTGTGATTTAGAAGACAACATGAGAGAGGTGGAATAATGTTCTGGCCTAATATTATAGGCAGTAAAATTATAGATCCTGTCAAAGTTGAGGATGGTTCAACATAAATGCAAATTATTATTGAAATTTTTTTTAAAAAGATAAACAGAAACTCACAAGATATTGTAGTGAACAAAACAAGATCTAGATTTAAAATTCAAATGCTAAGCACTGACTCATTGATTTTGTTAGAAAATAAAAAGACTCAAATTTACAAACTTTGCTTAACACACACACAAAAGCGCATCCAAAAGAAAACTCATGAACCTTTTCCATCTTGGATAGCACCATCTATGAAGGAGAGGAAGAAATTCCTTGCCCCTCAGAAAAAAAAAAAACCCCAAAAAAACCCACAGTTCAAGGACCTCAGTGTTATCATCCCAACATGTCCAAAGGTGAAAGTTAATATCTCGGCTCAAATTATGATGAAATACATATTTTCATAAAAATAGGAAAAGCCCAAAATTTATTAAAATTTTTCATGCATATCATGTTTCAGATTTGTGGCTGTACACATTTTTATAGCTAAAATATCTCTGTTGTCAGATACACATAAATATGAGTTGAAAATATGCTTTAAATCTGCCCAAATGATTGAATAAAGGAACAAGTAAGAAATCTTTAGGACAGACTTCTAATTATAAACATCCATATAAGTTGTTTTACTCATTTATGATAAAGCAATCTCTTCTTGGCTTTCTTTATTTCAGCAATTGTGATAAAATTTAAATAAAAAATTATTTTAAATGTAAATATTAGAGCACTGCAATAAATTGAGTCCGACAAATATTTTGGCTCCCCAGTGTATATAAAAATAAATATATCCACCTCATACTATTTAAGCACGCAAAAGCATTGAGTAAAGAAATACTTACCTTAATTAAAAAATATTTACCTTAATTAAAAATACCTTTGATACCAAAATGTGACACAAAAAAAAAATACAAAATGAATAAATGCAGATTGCAAAATAATGCCAATATATTTGTTCAATTCAGGGTTGCCACAAACTTTTTAATATTTTTTTACAGATCGCGACAGCTATTAGGGAGATATGATTAAATAGCTTTAATGTTTAAAAAATTATTAAGTATTATTATTTTTTAGGTTATAAGCATTATAACATATCACAAATATCTATATTGTGGAAAAAGGAATTTTCAATAATATATGCATTTTTCACATATTTATTATTATTTTTTAACTTTTATCAAAAGCGACATTCTTGTACATGTAGTTATGGATAATACATTAATTACTAATTTTTTTAATTAATAACCATTTGTGCTCAGTTGTTGACATTAATAGCTATCTGCTGATGTGTTAAAATTTTGGAATAATGCAATAATAAAAATTTAAATTTCATCTCTCTGATAGATGTTGAGATCTGTTCATAAAAAAAAAAAGTGCAAGGTCTTTGAATTAGAAAAGAATTGAAAAGTCTGTATTTAAAATGAATATTCTGTCTTTGGTTCTTCTTAATATTAGAGTATGTATCTTTTGAGAATCATTTTATGCCTCAAATGTCTCTCTTAGTTACAAACCCTCTTAATGCATAAACATTCTATTTCAGATGAAAATTCTTTGATTGAATATCTCCCAAGAAAAATGAGGATAGACTTGGCCATCCAGGTTCATTATAGTACATTAAGTAAACTAAAAATATTTCAGGTAAGTTGAAATATTAGAAATAGTAAAAAAAAAAAGAAATCATGATTCATGGTATTATTCTATAGTTTTCTTTTCTTTGCAATTATGGATAACATTTGAATGAGTTACTGGACGCATGGCGGAGTAATGGATAGCAGCTTGGATTGAGGAATCAGAGAGCCGAGTTCAAATTCCAGTAGAATCCATTACATTCACTTATGTGCTAATATTCATGGGAAAGGTATGAATCCTCTTCTTCTCCCCCTAGTTATGGGTAAATAACAAGACAGACCAGGTTCTATAGTCTTGGATGGCAACTGGTCTACCGCAGAAAGAAATGGCAACCTACTGTGGGAAAAAAATCTGCCTTGTCAGTCATGTATCAAAGAATGCATGTTTGCCTAAATGTGTATCAGGCATGGCACATAACTGACTGACTTGGGACTAACCCAAATGAAGTAGATGAAATATTTTTTTTTTGAGGGGGCAGGGAATAAATTTTTAAAAATATCTGTTCTAAGATGAAACCATAAGTCTTACAATTTAAAAAGAATAGTATTTTTGAGAGACAAGACAATTACTATGAAAGCCTGCTTTGTATAAACTTTCAAAATATTTGCAAACTCCTACTCAACTTGCCTTTATAACATCCATGGAGGTTAGTGCTTACTTATTTATCATCAGACTCAAAACTATTCTATTACATGAAAAAGCATTTGCATATTATACAAATAATAATAAAAACATAATTTTTGTTGATTTTTGACATTATGAAAGAAACTTTTTCTATTGAGCCTCCCATATTTTCACTTGAAAAAGAATGTAAAGCTCAGACACTTGAAAATATTTAATCAAGTTGCTATTAATTTTTTCAGCCAATATTACTTTGATATTATTAAGAATATTGCAACAAGCAAGAAGAGATTTTTCAAAATTTTGATATTTGCACATTTGCTCAGATTTTTGGAAATGGGTCAGGCAGTACCCACTTGTATGTAAATAAAGATATCACAAGCAGTCACAGAAGATGAGGAATGGTTATATGGTTAGATTTGATTGGCTGCAGTTGGTAGGCTTCATAGCCTAAACAACAAGACATGTGCCATATTTAGACAAGCTTCTCAAGAAAAAAATGATAGAAATTCTAAATCTTGCTGGCAGCCTCTTCTTTATGTTTGCTGACTAACAGCAATAGAATGAAAGTCTGAGTGTTGTAATAAGAATTTGAAACTAAAATTAAAATAATATTTTTAGAATGATTAATAATAAATCATAATACTTCATCTCAAAAATTTTAAAATAATATTTTTAACAACGTGCATTTATCAAAATTTGGAATATATAAATAGGTGTTGAAATTTGCCAAGATTTGTTAATGTATGGTTTTTTTAGTTGCTTTCTTCAGTTGCTGTTGATAAGGAAAGTGATTAGGTGTAAGGATGTTGTCACTATGGATGGGAGTTAACTGATTTCTTGGGTTGGTTTGTTGATGTCACAGTTGGAGTCAGAGGATAGGTATGAAGTGAATTAGCTCTTAGTGGAGTTTGAAGCACACCTTTCTTTAAGGCTGAAATCGACACATGTGAGGTGTTTGATGGATGGGTGGTCATATGATGCTAAGATGTTGAAAGTGAATTGCCTGGTAAGGTGAGTTATCAGGTTGGTTGATCAAGGTCATGGTGGTGGGTTGATTTGTTGTAAGGCACATTGGCGGGTTACAGGGGTAGCAATGAGGTTAAGCCTGGAGTAGATAGCAAATGTTGGTTGAATGGTGTATTTCTGTTGGATTCTGGTCAAATGTTGTATCAATGAAATGGTATGTTTCTGTTGGATTCTTGTCAAATGTGGTATCAATGAAACTGGGTTATGGTGGTGATGACAAAGGAGGCCTGGAGTGGATATTGAAGGTTGATTGAGTGGAATGTTTCTGTTGGATTCTGGTCGAATGTGGTATCAATGAGCTGGGATATTTGGGCATTTGATCAGATTTTGGGAAATGACAACTTTTCAGTATCCTCTCATAATGCCATAAAAATAAAAAGTGGGTTGTAAAAGCAGTTAACTTTCTACAATAAAAGTAAACACAGATTTAATTATAATTGCATACATGCAAAAATATATATAATAAGATACTACTGATACTACTAGTACTACTAATCTTATTATATATATATCAATTGATAATGATACATGCAAAAATTAGTTCAGTAATATTTAAACTACTAAAACAGGAAAAAGAATTAAAAATTTTATTGGAATAATTTAGCTTAAAAAAGTATGATGAAACAAGTTATGCAAACAAAAATATGTTGCTGTAAAGAAAACAGGCAAATGTTTAAGCTTGCAGTGAAGTTTTATTCCATGCAATTTGACTAATGCCCGTAATTTCTTTTATAATCGGGTAGTTTGAGAGGGGTGATAAATATGACTGCCTTCCATCACAGTTGTTTTTTTTAAATTGTTGTTCTATTTTTATGTAACAGGAGAAAATTACTTTTTCAAAATTTATTTTTGAACCCCAGAATTCTGATTTTGAATCTGATGCCACCACACATTGCTCATTTTTCCTCACATTACAAACTCATGAACTTACTGCTAAAATCAAAGAGACCTTAACAACTCTTTTAAATTAAGAATGCAGTCTAAAATTTTTGACAGAATCCTAAAGACATCTTTTAACAAGAATTTGATATTAATTTGAAGAAAAGTTACAGCTAAAACTTATCATTGTTTTACTGTTGTGTCATATGCATGTTTAATCTTGATGGACAGCCAGATAAACACGTTATAGCAATAAAAACTCTGAAGAAGATGTTGTCCTATACATCAGCAGGTTTATTAATGACCAAAAGGAATTTATCTGGCTGTCTTTGAGATTACGCCCACATACCACACGGATGCATATTCTCAGAGACAGAACAGTAAAATGAAGTTATCCAGTGGATTACATTGACAGAATATCATTTGTCTCATCCCTCAATGAAGAGTGTGGCCAGCCACATGTACTGATGCAAATTGTGAGCAGCTTTTCAATGGATTAGAACAGTAGGACTATACCAACAAACTCTTAAAGAAGACAATTCCATTCATCCACTGAATGTCACTGGTTTCATCAATCATCACTCACAGATCATGATGTATTAGACCCTAAACATCCAGAGGTTATTTTCGTGTCAACAGAGGAATTATGCAAAGGTTGTACAAAGAAGGATACTTACAACAATAGTATTCATCACATATCACAACACATAACAAATTTCGTCAGATACCTTGATCACTGAGAACTGGTTATGACTGGTCTACGCCAGTTCAACAACCAACCTGAAAGCTATAGAGTGTGGTGGTGCTCCTTCCAGAGTGCTATAAGAGGTCTTGATTTGACTCATAATGAAGAAATGGATTTTCTTGTAAAGCAGCTCAGCAAGAAGTCTGTGGAGCATGCCAAAAGAAACAGGGCTGTTCACTTGAACCATCTGGAAAGAGTATTAAGGATGATATGGGACAGAATCAAAGAATGCTATAGCTCTCCAGAAATAATTGAGATTGCACTCTTCAAACAAGCTGACGACATTGTCAAACAAAGAACCATCAAAATTAAGGGAATTCAGTGACCTCCTTATGGAGCTCCAGTCTGCCAAATAAGATGGAAACCTTCTTGGACTTGCCTTCCTTGATACAGCCCAAGGAGTCAATACTCTAGTACAAAAGCTTCTCTTCAATCTCCTAGAGAAGTTGTTGTTCTGGGGTTCCAGCTACAAGTAACAGAATCATGTTTGTTTTCCTACCTTTTCAGTATTCACAGATTTTGTAAGTCAAGAAGCTAAGATCAAAAAAGATCCACGCTTCCACTTTATGTCTCATACAGAAAAAAATTCCTAGCAATGGAATAAAAGAGAAATCTAAGTACAGAAAACTAAGGTATCACCCAAGATATCTGTCAACTTGAAGCAGGGGCATAAGGCTAGAGAACCTGACTGTCAGTGTCCCTTATACAAGAAATCCCATACTCTGCAGGAATGTTGCACCTTTCATGAGAAAAACCTGGAAGAGCACTACTCATATTCTTAAGAGAGGAAGACATATGTTTTAGATGCTGTGAATCTACATTGCTTATGGCAAAAACAGTGGCACTAAAGCCCAATGCGCAGTGTGTGATAGCAAGAAGCACGACACTGCTCTCCGTCCCAGACTGACACTGTGAACAAAGGAAATAAACCCTACTCTAAAGCACAGCATGGACATGACATCCTAGTGTACTGTTGTTTGTGATGGTAACCTCACATGTGGTGGCAACCTGTTCTAAAATCTGCCTTGTGAATGTCTATCCCATAGGTCAGTGGAAAAAGGCAACCATCATTGATGAACAAAGCACTCAATCCTTGGTTCATTCAGATTTCTTCAGAGCTTTCAGTAATAACAGCCCTAGCTAAACTTACTCCCTTAAAACTCATGCTGGAGTGCTAGAGACTGCCAGAAGAAGAGCAAGAGGCTATCAAGTGGAATCTATTGACAAACAGGTTAGTCTTCCACTCTCTAACCTTATTGAATGTGACAAAATTCCAGATAACAGATCTGAGATCCAAACTCCAGGTATGGCTCTTTGCTATCCCCACTTAAAGACAATAGTGCATCTGATCCCGGAATGCAAACTCTAATCATGTTTTTTCTCAGTCAAGATCTTATATGAGTATATAAGGCATGAAGATAAGTCAATAGCCCCCACAAGGCACCCTATACCCAGAAACTTGACTTAGGATGTAGGTAACATCTGTCCAAGATGAATGCACATGCCACTTACTGTAAATGCATTCTGTACTGATTCTCTTGAGAGGGCTTGCCCTACTATCTGAGTCATTTACAAACATCTTCCAAATGAAAGAGAGATTTCATAATAACCAAACCCACAATCACCCAATGAGAGACCTCAGGAAATCCATCTTTGACAAGGAGAAAGACTACCAGGGTGATTCCATGTTTCAACAAATGAAGAAAGACAACTATGATGCCGCCATCATGCTAACACCTACCACTCTTCATACACAGAAAATCAGCACACCTCCTACTCCAGTCGGGGAATTTGAAGTAAAAGACCACTTCAAACATTGGTGGAGATAACGTTCAGCACCTGGCACAGACCTTTTGGGCTTGATAGAGAAGGCAATACCTTTCTTCCATTTAAATACACAGGAAGTGGACAACTGAGAGACCAGATCTTAAGCCTGGAAACATTGTGTTTCTCAAAGACAGCCTGGCAAAAAGAAGTGAATGGCCTCTTGGCCTTGTCACACAAGTCTTTCCTAGTGGCAAGGTGTGTAAAATAGAAGTCATTGTTTCCAGAAAGGATGACACCAAATCTCTTCTTGGGCCTTTATCAGAAACTGTCCTTTTACTTCCTCATGAGACATAAATCAATTGTGGCATATAAACATGCCAGGTGGGGAGTGTTCTGCCCCAATGAATATGTGTCTTTAATCTTGAAGACAGATAAATGGTTTTTGGTTATTAATAAACCTGCTGATGTATGAGACTTTGTCTTCTTCAGAGTTTTAATTGTCATAAGGTGTTTATCTGTCTTCAAGATTACACACAAATATGACATGAACACATATTCTTAGGGGCAGAACAATAAATATATATATATATATATATATATATATATACTATAAATTAATTGATTTAAAATACGTTTTTTTCACTACACAGTTCTAACCATGTTTCAAAAATGGAAGCTGAAAGCTTCGAATTTAATTTTGTAATTAAATTAAAGACATTAGTTCCATTTCATCCTCAAGCGAATTTTGCTATCACACACTGCACATTGGGCTTGAGGATGAAATGGAACTAATGTCTTTAATTTAAGTACAAAATTAAATTCGAAGCTTTCAGCTTCCATTTTTGAAACATGGTTAGAACTGTGCAGCAAAAAAAAAACATATTTTAAATCAATTAATTTATAATATTAATGCTGTGTAAATTTACATTGAGCAATTTTGCAAAAATAAAAATATCTATAAGAACACTGGATTATATATCTTGCTGTTCTTTCTTTTATTTATATATACATACATATACATACATATATATATATATATATATATATATATATATATATATATATATTTTTTTTAAAAGAAATAAAAAAATAATTATAATATTATGGTCTACTGTGTATCGAGCACCGTTTTGAAAAATAAATGGTAAAGAACTCTGGATTATAAATCTGACTCTTCTTTCCTATTATTTTGATATATATATATATAATATAAAAGAAAAAAATTGAATTTGTAGGTCTGATGAATTGGATCGTGATTATGATTCCAATGTAATAAATTATAACCATGGAATATTAGTGTTTGAGCCTTTTATATTATATTCTTACTCTGTCCTGGACATTGAGTTCTACCTGGATTCTATCCTTGGAAATTTGTATATATATATATATATATATATATATATATATTATTGTGTATATGTGCAAAGAGAAAGCCATCAACTGCCTTTCTGTTGATTTCCAGAATTGTGGAAGGGCAAGAACAAAAAGAAAAGGAGGAAAGGTGTGAAGGAAAGAAGATAAAGAAAATGATGGTAAAAATGAAACAGGGAAGGGATGAAAACAAAAAGATAAACAGGCTTGCTGTCTGGATTTTTTTTACTCCTTTACCTCATTGGTCTTTTCAAATGGGTGAAGCTTTATATAATAAGTTTTTCTTTTATGTCATTATGCAAACCTTAAATGTGGATGGTTTTAATACACAGATTGAAAATGATTTGTCAATAAATATGCTTAAATTGTTGAATTTATTTTTATCTTTGTAAAAATTATATTGCCTAACCCTTATGCTAAAGGGTTAGGCAATGTAACACGCCCAAACCCAACCCATAAATATTGATTCTCAATGTTCAACCAACTCCATAAATACCAGTTCTCGATATTCAACCCACTCCATAAATACCAGCTCTCAATGTTCAACCTGCCCCATAAATACTGGCTCTCAATGTTCAATTCACCATAATATGCCATATCTATACTCTGGCATAATATATGATGACATCATCACAAATAATACAGGAAGTCATACAATGAGCCTTTGACAGCAAAAAATGAAACTTTGGGAGCCTGTATTTACATTATGAGTTTGAACATGTTCAATTGTAAAGGGTTAAAAATATTTTGAGGAGAGCTTAAAATTTTTATGTTCACCCTATGCAAATTAATACAATTTTAATAAAATGTTTTCTATCTATTTTTAGGATTGTGATCAAAATTTATTATTTGATCTGGTTGCAAAATTAAGACCCGTGCTTTGTCTCCCAGGGGATTTCATATGTCATAAGGTAAAATGACCCTTATTTTTATGTATAATAAGGAATAATTTTTTGTTTATTATCTTGGTGTGGGGATTTTCTCCATTTAATACAATTTCCAGATTTTAAAATCTGAACCAAATTTTTTATTTGTAACTGCCTTCTTTTTTACACATTCTTTATAGCATAAATCTAAACGACTTCCGGTATGATAATTTTCACTAAAATTTTGTACTCTTGGTATATTTATCCTTAAATATTAGCATGTAAGTTTCATTTTTATTATTACAGCTTACTTTGTAAAGTGTGCCTCAATTAAACAAAAACAATATACAGAGGAACCTCGGTTCTTGAAAATCTCACACGTCAAACAAATTTATTTTTGAACAGAAAATTCGAGATGAAAATGCCTCGCTTAATGAACAAAATTTTAGTTCTCAAACAACATAGCTGAACTGAGTTAACACAAATGGAATAATTTCTGAGTTGACCACTGTGTTGTATACACTCGTGTTTTGTGTCATGCTTTTCTTTTCCAATTTTATTTCGTCCTGGGTATGACGATAAACTACATCTGTGTCCTTGGTAAGACAATAAACTACGTCCAACAGCAAGGCCTCTAATCAGGAGGTTTTGAGGAGAGTGGAACCACCTCTTAATTGCTGGTGTTCCCAGGTCCACCCTGACCCAGGGTAGTAGCACCTATTAGGGTCCCAGCTATGGGCAAATAGTTAACACCAAAACTTGTGTAAAAGTGGGTTTTAATACCAGAAATACTTTGTAATAAAAAAATTATTACTAGCAATAATTTTTGAAGGAAAAATTATCAGCAATACTTAAAAAAATACCAGTAATACAAACAGCTTTACATTTTTAAGAAGTTGGATTGTACTCAAAAATATGAGTAATTAAAAATGGTTCAATTATGTATACATACACACCATTTTTTTCCAAAGTATCGCTATGAATCTAAACAAAACAACCAACCAACCAATTTTATTGTACTGAGACTTTTTCTCTATATTGATTCCTATTGGAAAAATAGTTTTGGTTTATGAACATTTCAGGTTACAAATGACCTTCAGGAATGAATTAAATCTGTGAACCAAGGTTTCACTGTATATTTTGAATCAAGATCAATACATTGCTGCTGCTATAAAACCTTTATTGTTAGCTAAAATCTATTATTACAGTGTTTTATGTACTAGCCTGGTTACACTCACACAATCTCCTACTATCTGTGATGTGAAAGTGAGTATATTTGATCAAAATGGACCTTCACCAGTCACAACAAACAGGCTTTCATTCTCAAAGTACATTTTTATACAATATAGATGCTTGTGTATTTATAGTAATGGAGATTAAAAAGAAACAAAAAAATACTGTAATGTATATTCGTGTGACAGAAGATAAATTATCATAGCAGATATCAAAAAATTAGACTTTCTTCCGCATTAAAAAACAAAACAAAATGTCCTGGCTTAATTTTACTAATAACACTAACTGTAAAGTGGATTTGAACAAAAATCTTGTTGACAGTAAACTGGTGGCAAAATCAGCTAAATCTTTTAACATTAGCCCCAAAATATTCCTCATCACTCATCATGAGAGGTGCTAGATTACAAATTTAAAATAGGTTCCTAAACTATATTTCCAAACATCATCTGAGTGAAAATTCCAATCTTAAAGATTTAATTTTTAAATGATTTTCTTAGTAGAGAGTTTTTCTTCTGCTGATTATCTCTTGTCAGTATCTATCTAGATTGCCATATACGATGTTATAAGCAGTTAACCATCATAGCATTGTGATTTAGGTAAGATTTAGTGAATTTTGGTTTATGATGTCTTGAATATATCTTTTGTGAGTTATTAGTACATCAAAGAAGAATAATTTACTGTTCTTTTCATTTCATTCTTCATAATAAATTGTATCTTATAGAATTCATATAGTCCAACAACACTTTCACATCTTCCTAGTGAGGCTAGAATATGAATTGTCATTCCTAGGGTCATTCTAAATTGGTGATCCTATAGCCATATCATCAAAGTAATTCAAAGTAATAAAAATCCCAAGACACAAAACTTACTCCAAGTAACAAAAAATATTCAGATGATTCTTGGGAACTATAAAATATTAACACAGTTATTTGATAAAGGATTCATTATGTAAGATGTATACACATCTGCTCTACTGTTAAATCCAATGTTTATTAATAAGTAAAGTTGACCAATAGAAAGTTTAAATATATATTATGTGTGTGTGCATATTATATATATATATATATATATATATTATTAATAGAAATCTTATAAGTATAAGAAACTATACTCACTCGGAAAACCTTCGGTGTATTGATTTGCAAATAAACAAGCCAATACCAAAGGGAAAAAAAAAAGGTATAAAAAAAGAAACAACCAAGAACATGTACGTTAACCGAAAATAAGCGTCCAGCATACGAGTTCAAGGCCCAAAGAAAAAACCCAATGCGAGTACCTAAAACAACTAAATAAAGTGCTCAATACAATGAGTAGAGCAGACCTAGTTAAACCTAGAGAGCCAGACAAACCTACCAAGGTTTCACCTAAGCGGTCTGGCTCTCTAGGTTTAACTATATATATATATCCGATGCGATGAGAACAAAAGTAATATATAAATTCCAACATTCACAGCATTAATCCAAAAGTGGGCTTAAAACCGATAGGATTGTTCATAACCATTTTCAATTATCATCCGTCGAAGTGCAGTTGAAATGCACTGACACCAAGTTGCATCTTTGTAGTGAGTAAAATGGTTTTGTCTATATGATAAAATTATAATAAATAAATAATGTGTCTCTCTTTCTCTTCCCCCATAAAAAAAAAACTTATTTTGAAATCTGTTTTCCTCTCTTATTTTTGAAACTCTTCCCTTTCTTTTTTCTCTCTCTTCAACCCTTTTTCTTTTTTCCTTCTCTTTTATCTTTTTTCTTTTTTTGCTTGTGTCTTGATAAATTTGAAATCCGTTTATTATTGCGAAATTTTTTGGTCTGAATAGATGGGCCTCCTGATCCCATGAAATAAACTATTACCTATGGATTTCCAAGGACTCTGCTTTCATTATTATATATATATATATATAAAGTCAGGCAAAGATAGCTCCAATGATTCAAGAGCGGAATTGGAAGAGAAATTACGAGCAAAACATTCTGCTTTGTTAACAGAAGATGTTAACACATGAAATTGAGTGAAGAGGGAAAGGATAGAAGACTTACTCTTATTTAAGCTATTATTACAGAGCCACAAGTAATCACCAGAATAAATCTTCTTTAGGGGCTATATGATGCCTCATTTTATCAGTGAATAAAGACTTAACATCTTTGAGGATACATTTACAATTATTATAAGCAGGTACAAAGTGGTGTCTCTTGTGATCAGAACTATCATGTTGGTATAGCCAGAAAAAGTGATTCCTGTGGGCTAAATAGTTGAACAGGCAGGTGTGGGCCAAGTAGAAGATTGTGGTTTCCCCTGGTATTTTCAAAAGACACAAAGGCATTCATGCCAGCTTTTACCATAGAAGAGAACTCAGTGACGCATTTATCAGTAAGAAGGTTAAAAATTGAATTCCTTTTTCTTTTTTCCTTCTCTTTTATCTTTTTTTGCTTGTGTCTGGATAAATTTGAAATCCGTTTATTGTTGTGAAATTTTTTGCTCTGAATAGATGGGCCCTTGATCCTATGAAATAAACTATTACCTATGGATTTCTAAAGATTCTGCTTTCATTATTATTATATATATATATATATATATATATATATATATATATATATCAAACAATATACGGACACGACAGTGATGATATAGTCTGTCATTGTTATGTTTACATAGTGGATCACTAAGCAACGATGAACACGCTGCATATAAGACGCTAGAAGCGAAAAATCGCACAGCATCTCATGACGTCACACATGACTACACGAGAGAAATTGGAGAATGAAATAAAGAAAGCCGTTGGTATAAACCAATGGCTTCTGTTACCAATTATTGAAATTATAGACATTTAAGAATATTTTGTAGAGATTCCATAGTTGATTTTGTTTAGGTTGGGTTTAACTGTTTGATGTATAATGCTTCAAGTATTTTTAGTTTTGTCTATTGTTTTCATGTCGAAGTATAGTTGTGTTTTCAAATTAGTATTTTACGGAATTGTGTGTGTGGCAGGCATGTTGTTTTAAATGCCTAAAAATGTTAGAGTTTTCATTAAGATGTAGTGTCAAGCGTCGTGAAAGCGAGTTTGTGGTGTGACCAACATAAATATTATTTAATTCGTTGGAGATACACTCTCCCAAAGGGCACTTGAATTTATAAACCATGTTGGTTTTTTTGCAAATCGCTAACCAGGGAGAAGAATCATTGCGAAGTATTAAGTTGGATATACTAGATTTAGTGTAGTATATGATTAATTTAATTTTTTGCTAGGATCTGTAGTTGATATATTAGAATTTACTAAATTTTTTAGTATGTGTTCATCTTGTTTATAATTAGTATGCATTTGATTACGATATAGGAGATTAATATATTTGAGATCAGTAGAAGCAGTATTATGTACAATTTGCTTATTATTGAGATTTCTAAGAAAGCATCTTATTTGTTCATCAACTATATAGTTTGGAAAGCTATTATTAATAAGTGTCTGTTTTATATTCTTTAGTTCACTGTAAAAAATCTGTTTGGTGGATGAATTAGTTTCTGCACGATGTATTAGATTCTTTATAATTGCTATTTTGTAGTAATATGGGCATTCGCCACTTGTAGTTAAGTGTACATGAATTTATGCTTGTAGGTTTTTTGTATGGAGAAATAGTAAATTTGTTATTATTTGTGTTTATTAATATGTCAAGGAAGGGATTTTATTATTAGTATTAAGTTCATATGTGAATTTAAGGACAGAATTATTTTGGAACCGTTTTTGAAGTTGAATTATTTCATCTGTATTTTAACTAACATAAGAATATCATCAACGTATCTTAGGTAGATTGATGGTTTTTTAAAATCTGTAAATAACTTATTTTCTAGGTTCGACATGTAGAAATTGTTAAATGTCGGGCCCAATACTGGACCCATGGAGACACCATCACGTTGCATATATATATTGTTATTATTATCAAAGAAAGGGACTTCAGTAGTACAAGTTAATAGTAGTTTTCTTAATATATTAGGATTAATTTTAAGTGGGGGGTAAAGATGAGTTACTGTATATATTTCTTATGATTATGTCAATAGTTTCACTAACAGGACATTGGTAAATAAGTTTTCCACATCAAGTGAAGCCATGATTTCATTGTCAGGTTTTTCACTTTTTTAGGATTTGGATTACTTCTAATGTTGACTTAACACTATATTTACTAGGAAGATAGGGAGTAATAAGTTGGTTGATGTATTTTGTTAGATGATATACAGGAGTTGGAATTTGCGATATGATAGGACGGAGAGGATAGTTAGGTTTATGTGTTTTTATAGTGCCATATATGTAGCCAGGTCTATAATCACCAACAATTTTAGGGAGTTTTAAAGAGTTCTGTTCAGCATTATTAGCATTAATAAGTTTATTAAGCTTTGATTTTAGTTGGTTGGTCGGGTTCTTGTTAAGTTTTTTAAACTTTGTGTGATCATGGAGTATGTGGTCTAGTTTTTTGTTGTAATCCAATTTATTTAGGATGACAAAAATGTTGGTCTTATCAGCTTTTTTTACAATAATGTCAGGGTGGTTACGTAGTTCTTGTGCGGCAATTTTCAGTTGTTTAGAAAGAATTTTTGAGTAGTTTCTGCTTTTATCATGTCGATCTTTCAGTGCCTCGGCCTTAAGTAAGTCTTTAAATTCTGGTGTAGTTTCTATTAGTTGTTCATCCTGAGTTTAACAATGTTTTGGTATAGGGTCTCAATTTCTATTTTTTTTAAAAAGTCGATTGTACTTTTACGGTATATATGGCAGTTAGGTCCAAGGTTAAGTAATTCTTTTTGGTGCTTAGTTAGTTCATAGTTGGAAAGGTTAATGTATTTATCAGTTTTGTTAGGAAGAGTGATATTATCTTTGTATAATGTATTCAGTTTTTTTATAATTTTAATTCGGTGTTGAGCTTCAGATTTATTGGTAATTTCCGTGAGTCTATGTGTAATTTCCTCCAGTTGGTCCGGGGTAGTTATATTCTGTAGTTCATCATAAATGTCCTGTTTTTTGATGTTAAAGTAGTTTAATTTTTCTTTGGATATTTCGATTTGCCTTTTTACAAGGCTACATTTGTAATTCCAAGTATTGATAGTGTTGTGGGCTGCTGGATCATGTAATTTAAATTGTGTGTATTTAGGCAGCATATTTTCATTTATACACGTTTCATTAAATAATATAGACAAGTTTGTCTATTTATTTTATGTAAAATTTTTTTTCGTATCTTCTGATAAGTTTGGTAACATTATCATTTACCGAAAAAAAGAAATTCTCAATATTTATCCATTATTTTTTAATAAAATCTAAGCTTTAGGTTTACTCAAGCCATTATCAAAGATGTAAATACAAAACATATCAAACAATATACGGACACGACAGTGATGATATAGTCTGTCATTGTTATGTTTATATATATATATATATATATATATATATATATATATATATATATGTTTGTCATATATATATATATATATATATATATATATATATATATATATATATATATATGACAAACATTTTGCTTGTAATCATTCAAACATATTGTTATAAAATCGAACTGCTGCTTACTTTTCATTCAGAGATTGCATATCACCTGGCACACGTTCCATTCAAATTTAACAACCAGAAGAAAGATATGTATCGAGATGTTGGATATTTTTCTAAATGAACTGGAAAATTTGAAATCTTCAACCGACGATTTCGTTTATTCTCTTTAAATAAATTCTAATATACATGGAGGAAATACAGACCGGTAATGGATAGTGGTCCTGAATGAGACATCGGCGTGACCGTCAAGTTGTCACATTCTCTTAAGTGACTATGCCTTCGGTAAAATTTTGAGTTCATTTTCTGTCCAATGTATGGATTAAATACTATAAGATGTATCTGATAGAATCATTGTTATTCTCGATACTTATTAATGTAATATTCACATAAAAAAAAAAGTACAATTTAAAATTTTCGGCTTTAAATGACATAAAAAGGGTTGATAATTCGTAAAAAAACAAATCAAACAATTAATCCGGAGAGTGTATCTCCAACGAATTAAATAATATTTATGTTGGTCACACCACAAACTCGCTTTCACGACGCTTGACACTACATCTTAATGAAAACTCTAACATTTTTAGGCATTTAAAACAACATGCCTGCCCGCACACACACAATTCGTAAAAATACTTGTCGAAAACACAACTATACTTCGACATGAAAAACAATAGACAAAAAACTAAAAATACTTGAAGCATTATACATCAAACAGTTAAAACCCAACCTAAACAAAATCAACTATAGAATCTCTACAAATATTCTTAAATGTCTATAATTTCAATAATTAGTAACAGAAGCCATTGGTTTATACCAACGGCTTTCCTTATTTCATTCTCCAATTCACTCTCGTGTAGTCATGTGTGACGTCATGAGATGCGGTGCGATTTTCGCTTCTAGCGTCTTATATGCGCGTGTTCATCGTTGCTTAGTGATCCACTATGTAAATATATATATATATATATATATATATATATATATATATATATAATGTCAGGCAAAGATAGCTCCAATGATTCAAGAGCAGAATTGGAAGAGAAATTACGAGCAAAACATTCTGCTTTGCTAACAGAAGATATTAACACTTCAAATTCAAAGTGATTCCTGTAGGCTAACTAGTTGAACAGGCAGGTGTGAACCAAGTAGAAGATTGTGGTTTCCCCTGGTATTTTCAAAAGACACAAAGGCATTCATGCCAGATTTTACCAAAGAAGAGAACTCAGTGTACAATTCTCAATAAGAAGGTTAAAAATTGAATTCCTAGCATTGTTACAAAGAAAATAATGAAATGAATCTCAATCAGTATACCGGTAACAAAAAGAAGTCTTGTGAATGGAAGTTTCCTATCTAATAGATGACGCAAAAGAAAGATCAACAGATACTACAGTGTGATCTGAATTGCCAAGAGAACAGTGTTGTGATGCTTGACAAAAGCTAGAAGAGGAGGTAAGGAACAAATCAAGTAAAGAACCATATTGATCAGATTTATTAGGGAAACAAGTAGGGAAATTTACTATTTGACTGAGGGATTGAGCAATGGAAAAATTAAATGTCTGAATACCAGTAATATGACTAACATTAGAATGATTAAACTACTTGGCATGATTACTTGTATCTTATTATGTATGGATTAACATATAACAATTCCTAACAAGTTACTATAGAGCAATGATTAACAGGGTGACCATTGCTAGAGTAATAAGTTGAGTGTCTCAATATTTTGGCCAAGTGCCAGACTAAACTAAACTTGGTAAGTCCATCTTAAAGGTTAGATAGATTATTATTTACAAAAATATGTTTTCCAGATAATACTATAAGTTTTTCTTTAACAATTCTTATGGGTAGACAAGAATTATGATTGACTAACCAAATGGATAAAGACATTTAGAAAGATACAAAGATATTAATACTGAGCAAAAACTATGACCAAAATATTATATTGCTTGAGAAACACAAAATGCAAAGAATGATCTGTTAACAAAAATATGGATTTCTAACGAAAGTTAGAAGTTAATATCTTCTTTATTTACACTTTTTTTTTATTTGGACTATTGTTCTCATACTTGTTTTTATCACATTTCAGTTGTTATATTTTCCAGCCTTCCTCATGTGTATATCAATCTGGGTACCCTACAAGGAATTCTGAACAGAAGCCTGTATTTAATTTACAGGATTAGATTGTTCTCATTCCATGTCTAATGATATCATCTAGTTCTTATGTTATTTAGTACCATTCAATCATTGTTCACCCAATTTGATTGAGTACAAGTACACACTACTCATCTGACCTGGTTGAAGACTTTCTGTTATTTGTCTTTCTTTCTTTATTGTCGCTAATAAAAAATGAAAGACTAATAAAAGCAAATCTTCAGCAGCAGCAGTGGCAGGCTAATCAGCAGCAAGGTTAGTTTTAAAGCTCTAAGTTTACCCTAGCAAATTCTCCTACAAGACCATGGTTTAGTGGATAAAATTGTTGGTTTGGGAATTTGGTGACATAGTGGTTGTGAGTTCAAAAAAACTGGGTTGGGCAGTATGTACTTGTGCCCAATGGAAACAGGCGAACAATAACTGAACATTACTATATAACATAAGAACTAAACTATCCTTTGACATGGGGAGTGGAATGAGAACAGTCTACCTCTGTATATTAAAGGGTTCAGCTTGGAATTCCCTGTAGGTTACCCAGATCAATATAACCCTGAGGAAGGCCAGAGAGCACAACAACTGAAACATTGTGATAAAAACAACAAAGATGAAGACTATAGTCTGAATATAAATAGTGTAAATAATGATAACTCCTCATTCTAGAATTTCAAACAAAAATTAATATCTTTTAATTATTCTTAGATTCCTTTCTTTCAATTTTATACTTTTCAGTTAAGATTATAAAATTATTTTACTTGAAACAAATAATACATGAGATTTAATCAAATCTATTTAATTATTTTTTTCTATCTAGGGTGAAGTTGGAAAAGAGATGTACATTGTCAACAATGGTCAAGTGGAGGTAGTTGGGGGATCTGACAATAATACAGTCCTAGCAACCCTCCATGAAGGAAGTGTATTTGGAGAAATAAGGTATGTTATATACAAATTATTCTTATTTTATTTTAAGGTTTAAATTTCCAAGTTGGTGGAAGAACACAATTACTCTGATGAAATTTTTTTGTAAAACTGTTTATTATGGAAATATATTTTTAAAACAAAACTTACTACTTTAATTTTGTATAAAGATGTAGTGATTGTGAAATAATAATAACTCCCTTCATATTCAGAGGACTGAGAAAGAAGCGGGAAAGAAGTTAGTGAGCCTATGTGAGATTTTGTCTTTCACAGAAATTAACCAGTGAACCGAGAAGAAATTTGTGAGCCTATGTGAAATTGTTTTTGGACCAATGAAAACCTTGCCTTTACAGAAATTAGCCAATGGCCTTTTATCTTTCTCTTTTCTCATGACTGAGCTGATCATAGAGGAGACATGAGCAATAATGCTACCAGCCACCAACCAGATCTGTTTATGCCTCACAAAACAGCAACAGAGTGTGCATCCTGGTCCGTTCTTTGATATTGTTCATCGGGTATTTGGACTGCCTCCCACTACATCTACTCACTTCTAATGTACCTTGAAGGATCTTCTTGGGTAGAGTAGTGTGGTATACAACATGTCCAAGCCAAAACAGTTTTCTCCTCTTTACTGTTGCCAAGAGAGGCCTGCCAGTTGTGTTACTTGGCCCTGTACAAAGTCATTTCTCCTGTGTTCTGTCCAGGAGATCTTGAGAAGGTATCTGAAGCATTTTGTTTCATATGTTGGACCTCTCTTGTTCGTTTCTGCTATCAGAGTCCAGCTTTCACATCCATAGAGCAGTACAGACAGAACCAGGGACTTGTAGAGCTTCATCTTGGTTGGAAAGCTGATGTTTTTGCTCTTCTAAATCTTACTGAGTTTTGCCATTGCTAATGTTGCCATAGCCAGTCTATGCAACCAACCAGCCTGACATTAGTTTGATTGATGGGGATTTAACATCAACGAGCACACCTTCATCACCTCCAGTGTTGGGGAAGAAGTGGAAGAAGTCATATGCAGTTTACCAACAAGGACGTCACCAGGAGTAGACAATATTCCAGCAGAACTGCTTAAGCATGGAGGGAATAAATTGGTCACAATAATAACATCAATCTGCAGGAAATCTAGGAGACAGAACAGTGACCCATAGAATGGACTCAGTCATCATCCCCATGTTTCAAAAAGGAAACTTCCACCAGTACCAGAACTACAGGATCATGAGCCTCATTAACAACACCAGTAAAATCATGCTACAAGTCATTTTAGACTCAAGAAAGAGGCTGTAGAACATCTAGCAAAAGAACAAACACTGTGGAACAGATCTTCAATTGCCACATATTCTGATGGAGAAACATCTGCAACATCAGAGAGAGCTGTTCCATAACTTTATAAATTTCAAGAAGGCTTTCGATAGAGTGTGGCATGATGATCCATGGCAGGTCCTGAGGAATTTCAGCATAGATGAGGGCCTCATCCAAACCATCAAGGCATTGTATAAGACCTCCAGCAGTGTGGTCCTTCTCAACAGTCAGGTGGATGACTATTTCAAGACCACAGTTGGCATCTGTCAGGGCTGTTTGCTTTCCCCAACATTGTTCAATGTCTTTCTTGAGAACATCATGCGAGAAACCCTTCAAGACTTTCAGTTCACTATATCCATAGGAGAAAGAATCATTAACAATTTATGCTTCACTGATGACATTGACTTGTTGAACGGCAGCAACTCTGAATTGCAGGGTCTCACCAACATATTGACAGACACAGCAGAAGTGTATGGAACAGAAGTGAGCACTGATAAGAGTAAAGTCCTGGTCAACAGTACAATCAACATCAGGGCCCAAATCTTCATGAATGGAGAGCAACTGGAAGAGGTGGACACCTTTAAATACCTTGGCATTACCTGCACCAAAGATGGACACTCTACAAAACTATAGATCCCAAAATATTGTCCTTTGCCAAAACAACCTTAGCAAGCCAGATGATTCATTTTTTTTTAGATAAGAGCTAATAGTTTAGGTATATATATTTCTCAGTCAGATTGAAAATGTATTTTCTGGATATTTATAAAAAATTCTATATTGTTTTCTTTCAGTCTAAATAGAATTCTGGAAACAGTTTCCAGAAGAAAGTTATACTTAACCCTACTAGCTAAATTTTAGTTATTTTCAAGTCCAAATTATATTGTTTATTTTATTACTCAAAGCTGTCTTGTTATTTTTATTTATTAGTCCCATTGTGTCCCCAAAATAATAATTTCAAATTAAAAATTAGTTGTTCATTTAAACTCTTCTATTTTCATTTGAGAAATATTAAAATCATTAGTCCTTTAATTCATTTTGTTAAGATCCATTTGCAATTCGGATAACAAACCAGCATTGAGTCAGTTAATATGATTGGATAAAATATGAAAGATAAGATGTAATTTAAATAAAGGGTAAGAATAAATATCTTATAAAATGCCAAATTTTATTAAAGTTAAATTTAGACTTAAAAGATAGTTTGATATGTGGTATATTTTTAAAATTTATGTTCTGAAATCTTAATTGCTTCTTCAGTATATGTTTTGTCAAAGTTCTAAATACTTACAAAGTAAATATGTAATGTCTGCAGATTTAAATGGCATATGATATCCAGTATTCTGGAATTTCTGTTTAATCTGATGATGGAACCTATATCTCTTCTTGTGTTTGAAGAAACTCTTATGTTTCTAACTAAAATGATATAGAAAATTAGTCAACTACATGCAAGGACAGGATTATTGGTGACTAACATCAATGAGGATACATTGTATTAAAACCATTTCTAATTCAACTCTGGTGCACTCAACCAATCAATGCACGGTATATACTGCATTCCATGGGGATTCATAGTCATTGTCTGAAATAGCTACTATTACTAGTCTCATAAGATTGGTTATTATAATGATAATTCTGAGAAATTCAAACTTTGCCCTTTCATAGATCCAGTAATGAAGAGATTCAGTTGTTAGACAAATAAGGCTGTTAAACAAAGGTTATTACTACATAATTTTTGTGCAATCAGTCTAATGATACAAAATTAATCAATTCAATATTAATTTGAAATTATTTGATATGAATTTGAAAAAACAAGCTTTCTTTATTATAATGTGCTATAAAAAATCTATCATATTTTCTCATAATTAGGTTCTGGAAAGTGTTACATCTAGAAACATATACAGGAAATGGATACAGTGGAAGTAAAAAAAAATAAGTTACTTTTGAAAAAAAAATGTAATGGTTAGAGTAAATTGCCATATAAAATACACTGAAAATGATAGCTTTCAGGATTGTCAAAAATGTGTACTAAATTTGATAAGTGTCTTGAGAAACAGACTTAAATGATTATCTCAAAATTCATAAGAGATATTATCCACTAATAGTGGCAAGTAATAGTAGAAGAAACAAGATGCCATCTATGAATGAGTCTCCTAATAACAGTAAATTTAAATGATATAAGTGATTTATCACTACACTATTTACATTATTCGGACTATTGTCCTCATCTTTGTTGCCATATTTATTTATTTTTTTACGCATTTCACCCCAAGCAAGGCAGGAAGCCACTAGGATGCAAGGGGTTACAGAAGATTTGGAGCAAGATCAGATAGGAGTGATAGAGGAAAGGATGAGGAGAATGATAGATGGATAGATCAAGGCAACTGGATTGACATTACATTTGAATAGTTGGAGATTATAGCTCTCAGGGAAACAGGAATAGAGAAGGGAGTTCCACAGGCGAGAGATGTGAGATATGAAGCTATTGGAGTAGAAGAGACGGCTACATTTAATAGTTTCAAGAGTGAGAGCGGAATGCCAGCCTCGTAGGGCGCTTGAATTCATGAAGTCTGGGAACCAGCAAATGTAGCTCCTCAGAAAAATTACCATGAAAGTATTTGTAAAAAAGACTGAGAGAGGCAACAGCACGTCTGTGAGAGAGCGACTGTAGACGAGATGCCAGATCAGGGCCAGTTATATTGCATATCTGCCTCTGGAGCCTATCAAGAACTCTTAGGCAAACAAAAGGGATCTCCAGACCATATATGGCAGCAATACTCCATGCAAGGGCGAATTGTTGATTTGTAGATCTGAAGGATTGATTCCGGGGAGAAAAATTTCCTGGCGCGGCACAGGGAGCCAACTTTCCTTGCGGTGGATGAAGCAATTGACTCAATGTATTTGTTCCATCTCAGGTCAGCAGTCAATGTGAGACTGAGCAGCCACAGAGAGGTGCTCTCGAGAATTTGAGAGTCAGACATTCTAATGGGGGGTAGGGAAGGATCTCTGTGGTGATTAATAGAGAGCAGTTTTGTTTTTGAGGCATTAAAGTTGACCAGCCAATAAGCTTGAGGACACATGGAAGAGTGGATAAAGGCGTTAGTTTGATCCAATGACAGGATCCAAAAAGTGTGAGTTCAATACCCGGTTAAGGCAGTGGAGAACTTGGAGAGGGAAATTAACAGGAGATAACTGATATCCATTAAACATGGCACGTGGAACTAGAACAGTCTACCCCAGTGAGCGAAATAAAGGGTTCAGTTCGGCATTCCAACCACCTGAAGAAGGCTGGAGTGTACAACAGCTGAAATGTTGTAATAAATATGGCGACAAAGATGAGGACAATAGTCTGAATAATGTAAATAGTGTACATATAATACCTTCTCAGAAATATAGACCGTAACTTATGACTAATTCAGGATTTCTGTCAAATAAGTCTTAATCATGGTTGGTTTTTGTCATAGTAAATCCAAAGAAAATTCTTATCAAGGTCATGCAAATGCTTATTTTCAGGCAGTTATGTATGGTCTAAGAATGCCACTATGTAATTCTCTTACCAAAATCCTAATGATCCTAAGTACATAAGGTATATGTAGATTATTATGGATCACATTTGCTTTGATTGTTCTATAGGTGATGTCATCATTGAAAAATGAGAAATTATAATTTGAAATATTTTATTATTAAACTATAACATGATTCAACATGCTAACAGAAAAAAAAATTCTGTTTGATTTCATCTTATTACATTGTTATTTAAAAATTTATTTCAGCTTGTTGGCAATTTCTGGAAGTCGTAGAACTGCAGATGTCCGGTGCAAAGGTTATGTTAATCTGTTCATTTTATCCAAAGCTGATTTTAATGAAACCATGAATGACTACCCTGAAGCACAGAAGCTCTTGAAAAAACGTGCAAAGTAAGTAAAATCTATAATCCATAAAGTATATTATCTGTATTTATTTTAGTTCTAGTGCAATACCAAATAACTAAATAGTGAAGGGTGACTTGGAAACCAGATCAGCTAGTCAATGATGCAGGTGAATCAGCAAGGTAGAGAGTGGGGCAGTGGAGCCTTACCTGACACCCGGAAAATTATCCCCCCCCACCACCACCACCACATCAGTGGATTTGATACAAACTAATTTTAATTTGAGAAAATGCACATCTACCACCAGGCCATTCTTCAGACTTGATATTCCTCTACACTAGACTTAATGTCTCCTCCTTTGTAATACTCTGACAACAGCCCTGCCATGATGACTGCTATTAGTTATGAGAGAAACCTGAGAAGATAATAAAATCTAAAAATAATGAGATCCAATTAATTCATCGAGTCTAGAAAAATCATCAACAGAATGCAGAAAGCACTGGACGGCCATTTCATTCTATTTGGGACTCATCAGCAGTGTGCATCCACTACTGAGAATTGAACCCAGACAGTTACAATATGGCGTAAGCAACATACCAACTGTACCAATGGGCCTCAGTGATGAAGAGGTGACAAACTAGATGTGATATAGCACTGCTCTCACTTTCCATAGTGTAACTCATCCAAGAATACCTTTCCCAGAGGATTGTTTCCCCCACGTGTGTCGTCTTCTTTTCCCCAGCTGCTCCCTACTTAAAACTTATTTTAAATCAGTTCCATTCTTTGTTTTCTTTCTTTTTTTTTCAAATTCATCAATCACTTTGCTATAAAATGTATCAACACCATGATCTACCTTTATCTTCTTCAAAAGGATTTTATTCATGGAAATGAAGACCAAATTATTCAATCTGTTTTTCCTTTGAGAACACCTCATATAATTATTATTAATGAAGAAAACAATCTCTCAGAGGAAGCAGATGTGACAGGTATGGTCAAAATCTGATGTAGTAATTTTGTAACTTCTGCCAGAACTTTGGTTCAAGTTCCTGTATTATATCTGCGATTTCTTGGATGCTTGATGCTTACTTTTCAAAATATGTAGTGTAAACTGATTTCAACTTGCATTTTAATCCATCCAAATCTGAAATGCTTTTACAGACATCCAAAGCTGAAAATTCTTCCATTGTAAAAATTTTTTTGTGCAATAACTTCATCCAAAATTTAGTGGCAAATTCACTTTTTTTACGTAACTTTAAAAAATAATAATTTTAGATATTTAAAATTAAATTTTAAAGCATTGGAATGGATAAATGGATGAAAACTTGACCATTTTATCCCAAAAAATAAATTTTGTCAGTTGCTCTTTTTTGTTTCATGTGTGGTAATGGTCACATGACTGAATCTGGGTCTTAAGAAAGAATCAAGCATACTCTCTATGGGTTAAATCTTTTTAAAAAGCAGTAAAAATAAGTAACATTTGATGTGACATGAGGATTGCCAGACATTCTGTATATACACGTCAGTGTTGAATAATCATGTGAAATAAACAAGAATCAGTAATAAAACAAACTTCCAAATTGACTAAATATCCATTTCACATGTATTACTGTCTGACTATGAAGAAAGCTTTGTCCTTTAAATAGGTAAACCTTTGATCTTAGCTGCACAGGACAATAAAAACAGTAATTAAGGAGAAAATATACTGAGAGCAATAATATGGCTGGAAGGCAAATAGCAAAAATTCTACTTTTCTCTTTTTAACTTCCAAAGCTCTTTTTTTATTATGGTCCGTGCTTAAAGGGAATAGAAGAGGAAAGCAATTAATTCACTGTTTTTTCTTCTTTTCTCACTAAACAAACAGAAGCTTTCTCTACTTAATAATATTGCTTGTTTACAATTTATCCTAATAAGGAATGAGAAATACAAAAATATCAAAAGTATGATGTGGATAGTGAAAATTAACAATAATTAATTTTGTATTACACAAAAAGAATTTATCCAGGAAAAAAATGTAAGGCATATAGTGCATATATAAGCCCTTCACCCCTAATAGATATCATATATATATAATTACATGAATCATTCATACAAAAAACAAATATAGAGGTTAATGATTTAAATGGCGAGAATACATCTTTGCAAACAATTTCAATAAGGTACACTATTTTTGTTTTTTGTATGAATGATTCATGTAATTATAAATTGAACTGCACCTATAATCAGAAATATATATATATATATATATATATATATATATATATATATATATATATATATATAGGTAAAAATCTGTGGTAAATAATCCAAGGGAATCCTTTATAATATAAATATTAAAACTTATCCACAAATAGAGCTCATTGTATTTATTACAGATCATATATAAATAAATTACATATAAATGAAATTTAATACGCCATGTGGATGGCCATTTCTCCCCATAAGAAAAAAAATTTCTACCGGGGTTTACCAACACCAAATGACCAAATGGTTTGAATAAAAATAAAAAGACATTTTTTTTTTTTTTTTTCAAATAATTTGGTGTTGATAAACCCCGTAGAAATTTTTTTCTCACAGGAAGAAATGGCCATCCATATGGGGTATTGAATTTCATTTATATGTAATTTATATATATATATATATATATATATATATATATATATATATATATATATATATATGGTGGACTCTCCTGTCAAAGTATGAGGGTCAAGCAGCTCAGTTCCTAGGAACCCACAACCAGACACCAGCACATTGATTTGATTATAGTGGTGAAGACTTTGTGCAGAAGCAACCACACTTTTGAAGGACTGAATACAGAGGTCCCCAAACGAATATCTGCAGGGTTTGAATTCAGAGTTGTCCTTCTCCTAGACCAGTTGCCATCCAAGGCTATAGAACCCATAGCTATTTACCCATAGCTGGAGGGAGAAGAAGAGGATTAATACCTTTCCCAAGTGTATTAGCACATGTGAAATATATATATATATATATATATATATATATATATATATATATGGAGAGAGATAGTTTTCCCAGTTAATGTGGTTCTATATATTATATGTCACTTATGTTTTACTTAAGCTGAATGCATAAATTTTAGTAGAAATTTAAATGAAAAAATTCACAAATAAGGTATCAATATTGATTTGTGTAGTATTTACGATAGTCGGACTATTGTCCTCATCTTTTTGTCGCCATATTTTGTCACAACGTTTTGCCATTATGCGCTCCGCCTTCTTCAGGTTGGAATTTCGAACAGAACCCTTTATTTCGATCGCTGGGGTAGACTGTTCTAATTCCACGTGCCATGTTTGATGTCAGTTATCAGTTATCTCCTGCTAATTTTCCCTCTGAAAGTTCTCCACTGCCTTAACCAGGAATTGAACTCACCTTCTTTGGGTCTGTCACTGATTTAATTCACGCCTTTTGTCCACTGTGCCATGTGTCCTTGAGGACACATGGCACAGTGGATAAAGGCGTTTCAGAGGGAAAATTAGCAGGAGATAACTGATAACTGACATCCATCAAACATGGCACGTGGAATTAGAACAGTCTACCCCAGCGATCAAATAAAGGGTTCAGTTCGAAAAGTCCAACCACCTGAAGAAGGCCGAGCGCATAACGGCGAAACGTTGTGACAAATATGGCGACAAAGATGAGGACAATAGTCCGACTAATGTAAATACTGTACATAATACCTCATCTCAGAAATATAGACAAACATTGATTTGTGTAATTACTGCAATAGCAAATTTTATTTTAATCATCAGAAGTTATAATATAAAATAATTTAAGGACAGACAAAGATACTACAACTATGTAGCCTTGTGCTAAGTTAATTTTTGTAAATATCAATATAACAAGTACAGTTTTACCTATGATTTTGTTAAGTAAAAGTGAAATATATCGACATTTGTAAGAAAGGGAAGAGTATTAAAGGTGTAAGGAAAGAAAAGAAAAAGAAAAGCAAGAAGTAAAGGAATATCTTTAGATACACTTGGAACCTGACTTGTAAACAGAAGTAAAAAAATCATAAAATTTAAATCAATTTATGGTAGAAGGATGGAATTTGAAATCAAAACAATTTCAAATATGCCTCACAGACATAATTAGCATTAGTTAAATCAAATTAATTTCTGGAATGTCATTTTTCTAAAAATCCTTTAAAACAAGTAGATTTATTATTGCATTATGTTTCAATATTGTAGCATAATATTTAATAATTTTATATGCATAATATATGAAATTATTAAATATTAAAATGACACATAATTTTTTTTTTTTACTTTCCAGTTTGAGTGGTAATATTCGCCTTTACATTATGCACTATGTAATTTTTTTTTTCATGTAGCCAAAGCTAATGGTATTGTTCAATATTACACATAATTCTTACACAGTTTTATATAAAAGATATGTGTGTGTGTGTGTGTGAAAAAATATAGAAAATAAGAAAGAACTCGTTAGGTAAACAATCCAAAGTTCTTTAGTATTTTTGTTTTTATTTTTAAAAAACAGTGCACGATACAAAAGCAGAGCCTAAATATAATATATATATATATATAAATCTAGAAATGAATTGATTTGTTGCCTATTAATATAAACAATTTTATTCTTGCTACTTTTGAGTAATTTGGGATGGGGAATTAAAAATATATATTCAAATATATATATGTATGTATATATGTATATATATATATGTATAAGTATGTATATATGTATGTGTATATGTTTATATGTATGTATATATATATGTATATATATGTGTGTGTGTGTGTGTATATGTATATCGAGTATGGATAGGAATCTGGCAAAATGACAGGAAAACAAAAAAAGTAGGAAACGGATCTTAATCTAACATTAAAGCTTTATCAGAGATTAAGTTAGAAATTATAAAAAAAATGATAAAAAGCAAAGAGACACAGATTAATGGTATGTTGGGTTAAGCTATTTCATTGCTTAGATACGTGACACATGTATTGAAGTAACAGATAATATTTAAATATGTGTGGCAAACATTCTCGATGCTAAAGTGTGTAAAATTTGGTAAGAATTTTATATATATATATATATATATATATATCTTTAATTCCCCATCCCAAATTATTCAAAAGTAGCAAGAATAAAATTGCTTATATTAATAGGCAACAAATCAATTCATTTCTAGATTTATTTTAAAAATCCAAAACAAATATGATTGCAAACCACATTATTTCTTATTTAATTTAATTATTATCTTTGAAATAAATAGTGCACAAATTCTAGTTTATTTAGTTCCATTTATTTTTATAAGGTGTAACAGAAGGTACAAGTTTAAAAATTGAGGACAGATCGTTAAATATAAGTAAATGATACAAAAAGTTTTTCAGTTGATGGTTATCTCAGATAATCAGTTAGCCTTTTCTTTAAAAAGCAAAACTTATAAAATATAAATCCAAATGATTTATATATTTTAATTATGTTCATACACATATATATTTGAAATATGCGTTTAATTTTTCAGAAAACTTTTAAAAGAAAATGCACGATTAGCAAGACAAGAAGTCAAGAAAGACTGTGAAGCTATTATCAAAAGCCCAAAAGAAACACCCAAATTTGTGAAAACAGTTATGAAGGTAAGAATATGATGTGCAAATAACAGTAGTTTTGTCATAAATTATTATAATTTTTCAATAGAAGAACTAAAATAAATAAATAATTCAACACAGCAAAAATTGTTTGAAAAGCTATTTTTTTAAAAATAGCATTTTCAGATATTTTTAAGCAACAATTATATAACATATTTTCTAATTGTTCAAAAGGTAAACATGTTTTCATTCCAATTGTTGTTAACAAAATATTTCAGCTGTGATTCATTCTACAGCCTTCATCAGGTGTATAATCCATACAGAAAAAGATGGAATTTATTTAGCAATGATTTACCTGATCAATAAATTAAGAAAATGGTCTTGAATATCATAAATTAGTATTTTCTTCTTCAAAATAATAATGCTTTTTTTTTTTATTATTTAACTATTTGTCTGTGGATTGTTTTTAAAAGAGAAAATTATACTGACTGTGTTTGATTGTCACCCTACACCCAGCCTGGTCATCCAAGACATCCAATACTGCAGCTGATTGGTGAAATGATCACTTTGATCCAGGTCCTGCCTTATCTCAGGTTGTGATTTGCTTTGACCATAAGGCAGCCAAGATCGAATTGTTGTCAGGTATCTTTGTATTCATTATAATCAAAGCAAATCACAACATGGGATAAAGCAGAACCTGGATTGAAGCGATCACTTCATCAATCAGCCGTGGTACTGGACATCTTAGATGACCAGGGAGGGTGTAGGGTGTAGGGTGATATGATAACAATTTGAAAATATAGTACATCTTGTTGTTTTAAAGATTTTTAGAAAAATGACATACTAGTTTTTAAAAAGGTTTCCATATAAACTGGTAAGGAATATCAAATCGCTATACAATATAATACTAATTTGAATGCAAAACAAAAGATATATCCTTTACACATAATTTTTGAAGAAAAAATTATTTCTGGCAATACATTTTTGAAGGAAAAATTATTACCAGAAATACATTTGACTCTCCTTTACAAAATATGTCAATCAAAACTGATCTACAAAATGATTCCTTACAAAGAATATGTACTCTATTTATATGAACCTATCCAAAAATTATTGTCGGCATTAAATAACCATTTGAGGTTGATATGCCGTTAAACTAAATAAACCAAACAAAACTTTTACACATACCCAGAGAAAGAAGTCCATAGGCATGAGATCTGGCAAACTTACAGTATAACTGCTTTTGCAGCTTCCCGTATAAACACGTCTTACATGAACTCTCAGATCTTGATCATTTTAGTGGACACAAACATTGCCTGATGCCTCAGTACAATTCTTCTTTCTAGGAGTCTTTTTGTTTTGTTTTTATAACAGTTAAGAGGTTAATTTTTTGCCAGAACTTTTTAATGACATACACATTAAATATATTTGAGAAACACTACTTAAAATTATCTGAATGCATTAAGTTTTTATGCCACATATTGGGCTGTGTATACTGTCTGGAAGAAATACCCTGGTCTTATATTTAGCTCCACGACAGAACCCATCATACAGAACAGGTGAAATAGGCCAATCCAACAACAAAGCATCTGTTTATATTAGCTGATGGTTGTGAGTTCAATTCCTGTGCTGGGCAATACATAAGTATATAGAACAATAACAATATTTGCTTTGTTTTTGTCAACTGAGGCAAGTGGTTGAGAGTGCTATTTCTTTTGGTGCCATTACTAGATTCTCACTTGCTTAACTTTATACAGTATGATTTAATATACCCAATCTTGTGGTTCTCATATCAAAAGAAAACAAATTAGTTTGATGTTCATTATAGCTAAACTTTGCAAGGATCTTGACTGTAATCAATTGCAATAAAATAACTATTTGGAATAAAACATTGTAACTTAATGACACAAAATAATATGTATAGTTATATATAAATTATATTTGAATGAAATACATTTTGCATTTTATAATTGGAATGTATGATAGAAATTACAAATGAATTATTTCTTCAAAATGATAAGGAAAAATGGTTTATGCAAATAAACTAAATAAAAACTTGCTTATAGCATTAAACAATAATAAAAAAAATAAATTATACAAGAAAAAAAGCATATCTGCTGCAAGGCTTGAAAATTTATTATATTTTTATTTTTATTTAAAATTAATCTATCATGAGAATATTTTTTGACTAAACCTAGAAAAAAAATTAACAAATAAAAGTTTGATTCTAGAGAGAGGACGCAAACAAAAGCTAAATCCTCAACAATGTCTTTTTCATTTTATCCTATCAGAATAACAGAAACAAAAATTCAATAAATTTTTAGACAAAAAGCTCTCAACTTTATTTTTCTTTTTGCCATATATATTTAATATCATACTAAATTCTTAATATTCACTGGATGTTTGATAAATTTATTGTGCGTACATCATTGTAGTTGCTTAAAAAACTACATTTTCCTGTTTTGTTTGGTAATTTGATGCAATTCATTCAATTGGTATTTTGCTATTATTCTCCTCATAATTCTGCAATCAACAGATACAAACTCTTCTTGCACTTCCAAAATTGCTCCATTTTCACTGTGGAGAATATCAGGTTTCAAAATGTTTAAAAATTACAATGAGACATTGAATTAGTATTTATTCTTTGTTGATGTCTTTCTTATTTGTTCCAGAATACCAATTTTCTCAGAAAGCAAGACATCTTCATATAGTGTTGTATGGGGGTTTGGAATTTGGCATATTCTAAATGACACTTAATTGTACCTATTCTCTAAAAAATAACAGAAAACAAATACAACTTGACTAAGGCTGATGTAAGTTAGCAATACCAATGTTACTTTGGTTGGTTTATACTGGTTCAAATAAGTCAAGTAATAAGTAATAGATTGAACATTATTATGATTTGGAAGTAGAATGTAAGCAGTGATGGCATATACTCTGAATTCATTATAAAAAGTAGAGGATGGAGAATTAGTAAATACTAAATATTTCAAATACTTCAGTGATTGGATCAGTTATAACAAATTTTGATAGGCAAAAAAGGAAAATGAACATAGAATAGGCTGCTCTAGAGGTAGTTTCACCTAATACTGTAAATTGCTAGAAAACAAAAACATTAACCTGAAAACTCAAGTCATGTTCTTAAATAGCCTCATCAGATCAAGATTTTCATATGGATGTTATGCAAGGCACCAAACCCCTTCAGAAATATCTAAACTGTCAGCTGTATACAACTACATTCTAAGATCAAGGATTGAAAATGGCTTTGAGTGAATGAAATCTGTGGGATCTTGGTGAACTGGTGCTACAAAATCACAAAGAACTGTACCAAATGATAGAAACCTCATAGCTTGAGAACTTTCAACAGCAGCAAAAACTAAAATGGATATCACATGTAACTTCAAGAGGAAAAAAAAAATGACATAATCAAGATGTTGATGTTCCACACTGCTTCAAGCAAAAGGCTAGAAAGGAAACCCCCATCAATACTGGAAAGAGCAATAACAGCTACTGGACTGGAGAAACCTATTCTCTGGAGAAATTGTTTTAAGAGAAAGATTTTCAACAGACAGCAGTACTGGCTGCTTGGTCAGTGAATGTTAAATATTTCCTTATAAGGAAACAGCTAATATTACCATTATAGAATGAAAATTTCAAATCAAAATACAGTAACAACTACATGCTTATATATGTGTGTTTCCTTTATAGGTAATGGATCCAGAATCAGAACTTGTTCAAAAGATGGAAGCTAAAGTTAATTATCAACGGAAAATATCCAATATAAGTAACTGTTCAAATTCAGAACCTCGTATTGATATTTCTTCCTCAACAGACAGAACAATAAGTGATAATTATGTCAATTCACTCTCATCAGGAAGTGTAAGTAAAATTCCTAAGGATTTTTTTACTTTCAGTTAAATAAAGTTGTTGAGGTTTTTTTTTCTTTGGTTAACAGATTTTTGGATGTAGATTATTTGAATAATTTGTTTATACACAAATATCAGTACAAATATGTATATATACTCAAAATCTTTGAATTGCACTAATGTAGTGTTTGTGTGCACTAGTTCTGTCCAGAAAAGTAAGTAACCTTTTTACATGCTTTGAAAACTAGTTACAAAGACTTTATATAATTTGCAAACAAATCAGGAATTACTTTACTGTAGCTGAATGAACAGACACTCTCCAATGTATTTTATAAGTTAGCAGTGAAACATCATTGAATGAGCTTGTGTATTGCATGACTACTGCAGTCACCAAATTTTGATTGAAACTTGGACATTTAGGCTGTGAAAGTGATCCACGTTTTGGAAGTCCTTCAAACAAGCAGAATATCCCAATAATATTAACTGTTGTACTGTAGGCACAACTGCATCTGATTCAAGCAAGTTTTCATCTTTTCTGATTGCTACCCACTTACTTTACTCTTGTTCCACCACTCCCTGCTTGATTTTAAATCATTTTATGCATTAACAAACTAAGCATTTCTGCCACTATGAAAAAATGAATACTAATTTTAGCATTCTTTAACAAAATTTTCTGCACTCAGTCTGTGCTGTGTTGAAAAATCAAGAAGATAAAAAAAAAAGAATTGTCATTGGTCAAAAATTAAGGCAAGCAGTTCAAAGTGAATAAGATATAAAAAAAATATATGCTTAAATCAGTACCTATCAAGGATTTGCATTTTATATAATGCTTTAGTATTTAGTTAAAAACCAACAACGAAGTTGAAAATTATGCGTGAATCTTTTTATTGCAGGTCTAACACTTTTGCCCCGGCCCCTCAACCTCTGGCATCTTACTCTCGGGGTTGAGGTGTCTACTCGGTTCTAACTGAACTTAAGGGAGTGGCCATAGGTCCCCTGGGCATCCGTTGAGATTTGTCTGATCCAGAAAGCAGAAGTGATGTCTGTCCATTCATCGTCGACTGAAGATGTAGACACAGCTGGGGAGTCTGCGCTAAGAAATTTAGAATGCAGCAAAAAAAAAAAAAAAAAAAATTTGCAGAAAGCTGGACAAACATCGATTCAATGGTTGAATTGTTAATGTCTTTTATATAGCAGAAAAGAATAGTAGAGAAGAGTGTAAAAAAAAAAACTCATACACTATATTCTAGACAGAGAGAGAGTGTAGGTGATTATCTTGTTGTTAAATCATCTCAGAACGATATGTGACTCTTGCGATGGAGAGATAAAGATTTCTGTGTGGGGCTTAAAGTTATAGTGGCGTTCCTCCTCCCAACGCTTGCCCTGGCCAATTCCCTCTTCAAGAATTTTCTCCTATCTGTCTTTTTTTGCATAACTACGCATTTATATAGATAAACCTGGCTGGTTATAACTGACCCTCGGCCCTACTACTTCGCACGTGATTATCACGGGGGTTCTGGCTGCTTCAACCAAAATCATGTGAATTCCAAAGTTCCTTCTAGCTTACTCAGCTCTATTTCAATTTTTAATCGATAGAAATTATTTCGACCATTTCCATTGTCTTCTGATGACCTAGATTTAATGTGTACAACTTCTGCCCTAGATCAAATTTCCCCATCAGTAAAAAAATAAAGGCTCTGATTTAATTTCGCTATTCAAATGTACTCCAATTTCACTAAAAAAAAAAATGTTTTTGTGTGTTTTCCAGACTGTCACACAGGCCTGATTTATGCTAATCAAATTCTTCCAGGATTCATGTTTTTGTATTTTTATTTTCTGAAGTTTTTCATTCCTTCAGCTCTCTCTCTCGGATATTCCTAATGATTATGGAGATGATGACAGTTTATTTGAAGATGATGATGTGTTTGAAGATGATTTTTTAGACATCCTAAATGAAAATGAAACGTCACCAATATCAGATGATACAAAAACAATGCAGAATTTAACAGAAACTAACAATGAAATCAGTAAGTATCCCTTGAGGTCAGTTTAGAAACATTTTTCTTGTAAAAAACATACATTTCATTTAATTCTATATATATATATATATATATATATATATATATATATATCTAAAAACCTGTGGAAATTTGAAATTCAGAATATATAAAATATAGAAAAATGTATAGGATATAAAAAGTATTGCTAAATTCAGTTAATATCTTCCCAGTAGAAAAAGTTGCATTTACAGAATTTTTTTTCAATATCATAAACACCTGAAATCCAAATGTAATTTTTTATCTAACATATTTTCCTCTGCATATAAATCACAAAACTTCATTGATTATAGTTTATCAATATAAAGGTACATGTTGCCAATATATATATATATATATATATATATATATATATATATATATATATATGTCATCATTCATTTGAAAAAAAGGCACGAGGATCCTACCTTGACTTAACCTCTTTTTGAAAGTAACTAATATGTTGATACAATAGTTGTCTGTGAAAATGAATACCCTATTGCCCCGTGTGTTGGTTGGGATCAAATATAGATCAGAATCTGAAAGAATAAGATAAAAAAACAAATAAGAAATGTTTATTAATCTCACATGTTTCACTTTTATTAAAGTTTCATCAGAGAATGAGATATGGAGAAATTCTGCTATGTTTACATTTGTGTTGTTTGATTTTCATTCATTAATCAGGTTTCATGTGAATTTGATTTGTTAAACAAGTGTGCCATTCTGAATTCAAAGAGAGATGACATGTCCATTGAAGTTTCAAATCAAAGGAAAACAAGCCTGACTGAAAATCTGCAAATATTGCTTTATATATATATATATATATATATATATATATATAAATATATATAAAAGTATAATAATTGTAGTTTGTCTATGTGGGACTCAGATGATAATGTATATTTGTAAGTATGGATGAATTCAGAACACCAAATTATTCTAATGTTTAACAAGTCGAATGCATGTGAAACATGATTAAAAATCAAACACAAAAGTAAAAATATCAGAAATTTCTTTTTCTCCATATCTCATTCTCTAATGAAATTTTAATAAAATGAAGCATTTTAGATTGATAAAAGTTTTCTATTTGTTCTTTATTATATATATATATATATATGTGTGTGTGTGTGTGTGAATATGAGTTTTAACTTTTTTGCAAACGCCTAATATGACAACAGATTTTTCTTATTGTAATATTTGAATTTATACTTACTTTTCCTTTCTTTCACATATTTAAAAGAAAAATAGAATACAATGCTGAATTCCAGGGATCCATAGAACACTCAATACTTAGATAATTATTTTTCATTTACAAATACAAGAATATTACTTTAAAAATGAAATTTTATTAGAAGTTAAAACAAGAAAAAAAAAAAAACAAATTTAATTGGATAACTACAAATTATTAATATTGATGCAACAATTTTATTTCTCATTCCAATCAAGTTTTTGACAGAGAGCATTTCCACTTCATGTTTTTTTTGGGTTTTTTTTTTTTTTTTACTGTATTTGTATCTTATTTTAAATTCAAAGAAAATTTTTTCTTTTTGTATTGATACAAATAGAAAGAAATCCCCACTTATTAGATGAATTCTATCACATCAAGTGAACTGATGTTTTTGATTTGCCTGTTTAAATTATTTATATTTTTCCAACTTAGTAATGGCTTGTCTATCTAAAAACCTATTTCAATGTTCTAAGAAAAAGTTGAACATTTTTTTCTTTTAGTAATATCAGTAATTGAAGTCTAAATAATCAAATACAATATTTAACTAAATGCCTAATTATATGATTTTTCTTGCATCTTCTTCAGGCCAGTCATCAAGCAGTTTGTGTTCTCAAGTAGAATCTCAAGGTCCCAGTTTTGCTCCAAACAGTGGTAATTTACCACCTGTGGAAACACCATTAATACAAGCTGATCTTCATGATTTTTGGCCTGCAAATCTGGTTAAATCTTTGTCACACAACTCCATCCATGTTAGGAGGAACAACTTATTAGATATTCAGTCAAGAAATCAAAAAGTTTCTACTCATTCTGTGAGTAATGACAACATTCCAAATTTAATGAAAACATCTAATCTCTTACCTATGAAAGACATTTTGATTCCAGCAAAAAACCAAGTGACATGTTCTGTTGAAATCCATCATCATAAAAATGTTACTCCAGTGCAAATGATTGAGGATGAAGTATCAACTAAACAGACATTGATTTATAAATCAAGTCAAGACATGACAAATCAACAAGCAATATTTTATCAAAACAATAATTCAACTCCTGAACTGTTAACACAGATTTACAAAGGAAGAGATCCACAATCACCAAAACAATCAGAAAGTAGCCAGGAAACAACATGTTAACAAAAATACTTACAGTAGAAAGATTCAAATATATCAGTAGTAGAAGTGTTAAAGACTAACTCTACTCTTGAGTTCAATTATTCATTTTTAGCTTTTAAATTACTTTTCAAATAAGATAAATTTTACAATATATACCCACATGTTTCCTTAGTCTCTTTAAAAAAACAAAAACCAAAAAAAAAAAAAACTAAATTTTATTCTTCATATAATTTTTTCTTAACTGAAATCTATATCAATTCTGTTTTGATATTATTTAAACTTAGGAATAAATTAAAGTTGAAATTCTTAGCTTAAAAATTGGTTTCTTTTTACTTAAAAATCTAATTTATTTCTGCATTAATAAAAATTGCAATCACAGCTGTAATTAAAATTTAAATCTGAAGAAAGGCATTTTTGTTTTAAATGTTTTGATATTGAAAATAGACTAATTCAAAAATTTTTTTAAATCAATTCAAATTCTCCATAAGTTATAACTTTCACAATATTAATTTATGAACTGTAAAAATGAATAACATCTCCATAAAATGAAACGACAAACTTGTATTTTTTCTAATTAATCTTTTCTTAAATTCTATTGTAAATATCTTATATGCATCATGGAAAAAAAAATGGATTTTCATTTATGAGATTAATCATTTAAAAACAAGTATTTTTATTAGAGTCAAATTAATATTTGACAGGATCCACATGTATCATTTTGAACAGATACGCATTCTGTGAGATTATATAAGATAAATGTTTTCTTTTTATATCTAGCAATGATTTTTAAATCTAGCTTGGGCAATGATTTTACATACTAAATTATATTTCACTATGTATAAAAAATTTTATTTACATTTTGCAACATTCACCACAATTATGTATTTCTGGAAATTGTTTCCAAAAATTTCAAGGCATGCAAAAGTAAGATTTTGATCAAATCAAGTTCTGTGTTAATTTTTTACATTTATGCCACCATTTTATTAACAATGTTAATGAGTAATAGTTTTTTTTTTCTATAACTGTTAATTGCTCATCTAAATTTATTGCACATCCATCAGCAGAAAAGTAAATCACACAAACCAGAAATGCTTTTTATTACTTAATAAAAATCTTCCAGCATTTCTAAAATACATTTTTCAGATACACTGAGTTATTTTGATCGATTTTTCTTTTAAAAACTGTTCACATCATGTAAAGTTAACATGTGGGACAAAAAAAATCGTTTATAACACTTTAGCCATAAAAAAAATTAAGCCTTGAACTTAAAGAGGTTGGGCTATTTTTACTTATTTTTCATGCATAAATCAGTGGTAAATAATTTGTTTTACTGTTTATTCCATGACCAAAATATAATCATTTAAAACTGCTTATATTTATAGAGATTAGTAAATTTCTCAGAACATGAACTTGGAAAATCCGAAACAGAGAAACAAAATGAAATCAAATTCATCATTGCTGACAAAAAAAAAATTCAAAGATATTTGACATTAAAAGCAATCATAAAATAGTATCATTCCCAGAAAGAAAAAACAACACTGAATTTTAGGTAGAAATGAAGACCTGGATCCAAATTTTAAATAAAAAAAATTGGTAACTATAATTAAGGAAGCAGCAAACATAACAAAAAAAATAGAAATAAGGAAAAGGAAATATTTAGAGTTAACTCTAGAACTGAGAAGAAAAAGAAAAGAGAAATATGATTGTAAAGAAATGAAGAATTAAACTAATTTATAGAGCAATGAGACATGAAATCTATTTGCAAAAGGAAGAGCTTGAAACATGCTTAATCTACAACCTAATGAGGTAAGTAAAAACAGGGAAGTTAAGATCTTATTCCTACATTTGATAAAAAAAACCAAGGATTACTATGTAACAGACTTTTGGAGAGATGCAGAAAAAGAATTCCATAAAAGATTAGCACAACTATTTATCCAGTTAAAAGGAGGGAGGAGAAAATAAAAACCTTTTAAAACTATCACAACAAGTCATTCTAAAATGAATCTTAAATGAAAACCAGCCAGGTGATTTAGTAATGGCTACTCAATAAACCATTTACAAATAGATCAAATAATTAGCAAAAGAAATTCACGCACACACACACATATATATGGTTTTATAAAATATTTTACATCATAATAAAAAATATTATATTTTGCTCTACATTGTATTGAGCAGTATTTTTTAAAAAAAAAGTAAATTCTAAGAACAGTGAATTCTTAATCTATTTGTTCTTTCTCTTTATTTTGGCACATGAATCTAAATATATATATATATATATATATATATATATATATAATTCAACTTCACAAACAGATAAACATTGGAAAATGACCAAGATAAAGAGATACAATTTTACTTAAACTAAGAAAAACTTGTAGACATGACAAATTCCTAAAGAATAGAATAATTTCAAACTTGTGATGAAATTATTTCAGTGCATTAATGAACATCTCTCATTTAAGAACAGCCTATGCTTGTTAATTTTTTTTTAAATAAGTAGCTACTGATTTGAGAACCAACAAGTTACTCTATGACACATCACACAGTTAAAGCAAACTTCTCATTGCTGTTTTCATTTTTCAATCTACACATACAATCTATGAATTGCTCAATAGAAATTTTAAATTCCATATTAAACTTCTGGGAAATGAAAAAAAAATGTCTGTATAGAAATTACTAATGAGCTGTTAATCAAAAGCATGGGCCTATGGATATTTTTAAAGAGTTTAATAATTAAGGCTTGGTTTTTTTTCTTTTATATAATTTATGCAAAGCAATATTTTATTTTTTTTTGAGACATGCAACATCAATAAAGAACTAATAGTCATTTTTCACTGAGAGAAATAAGGTATGTACAATTTAATTATAACAAAAACTAAGTTGGTATTAAAATTAAAAGCTTTAAAATTTATTTAAGCTCAAGAGGGATCACATTCTCAGAAGTAAACATACATCAATAAGATTGCCTATCCAAATATATTTAAAAAAAAAAAATTATATAATCCAAGTGCAGTTGGTCAGTATAGCATCACAAAACTTTTCTCTAAGTATTCTAAATTATTTTTACTGTTAATATGCTTGCAGGATTTGTAATTACTTGTAAAAGCATCATTCATTAAAAAAACAAAAAATCATGACAGTTTGTGAATAACTATCATTCGTGTTCTAGAGGATATTAGAAAATCAACAACAGAAATGTGAAACTTATATTGCATATTAAGTTTTGTAAATTTTATATCTTTGAAATCTGATTTTTATTACTATTTCTTTTGGTGGGGAAAAACATGATAGATAAACAGTTATAAATTTTCTATTTCTACATAAATATTTTCTTTTAGATTTTTGATATTCCTCAAATACTTTTCTTTTTATCATTAACTTAATTATCCATTTCAGGTTTATTTTAGTGTTTTTTTTTTTCTTTCTCTACAACACACAAAACCAAGGTGTTATTATTTGATATAAGAAAACGTTATTCATAAATAAAATCAATGAATACTCACCAAATGCTAATAATAAAATTAATAAAATAAAATTTCAGTTTTGTCAAGCTAACTAGGCTACGTTCAAGTTTATTAAATATTTTAATAATTTAATGAATGAAATAAGAAAAATGAGTATTAAAAAATAAACAAATGCAATAATTTAAAAGATTGTTTTATTCATAAATTGAGAGTGTAATAGACAAATTTATTATAGAAAAAGTAAATGCTACATTAATATCAAAATTTAACTTTTTTAAAGATATAAACAGATAACAGACAAAAATCTCACTGAATAAAAGGTAAAAAAAATACACATGGTTATGAAGTGAAGAAATTTTCTATTTTAATTCAAGTTAAGAAAGTAGTTTTAATAACTTGGTAAAATAACATTTATCATTAGAATATAACAGAATATAAATGAGTTTTTGTTTTTAATTAAAATTGTAATAAAATTAGGTACTGTTTACACAGAACTTAATACAAGCAAAATAAATACTTCATATATTTAGTTTATATGTAATAATTTTTGATTTGTTAGAAAAAATATAAAATATATTTATCACAGTTTTGAAACAAATAGTTGAATCTTTAAAAATATTTTAGATATGTATCACAGCAAAGTACAAAAGAGCACTTGTGATGAAATTTATAAGCAATTAGCAACAGAAAGTTTCAGCTTGTCAATCACTGAAATTAGATTGTTTGTATCACTTGATATTTGGGGGTTGGATGTTTGGTCAGGAAATGAACAGATGTCTTGAGACAGCTTAACAATAACATCAAAGTGTGATATTAAAGTTACATTTTTTTTTTCACCTGAAAAATAAATTTGAAAATAATAAATAAATTGAATGAAAATTGTCTGACATGAAATTAAAAAGAGTTTATTGGAAGAAAAAAAAAAATGACAATAAGAGTCCATTAAGAATTGGTAATTAAATGAAAGTTCAAATGTTGAAGCAATAAGAATCAGCAGTTAAGAATTTTGTTTATAACCAGAATTCATTAGAAAATCTTATTTCTTGTAACTTATTTTTTAGCAAAACCACAAACTGCAATTACAATTCATTAACTTTAAGATATGAGACTATATTTTTTTAAATTTCACTTTTAATACATGTTTTTATAATTTGAAGATAAAACAATTAAAAATGAAAAGAAATTTGTAAGAAATTATGCAAAAACAATTTTAGTAATAAAATTCTAGTTTTTTTAATGATCAAAATGTTTGAAATTTTTATTTTCCTCCTTACTTAGTATTCCAAAAGTATACATCTATAACTAACATGAATAAAGAGATACTTACTTTTATTAAATAAAGATTTCAAATCCAGCATAATTGATGCTACACTCTCAACCAGATTTTTCATAAGACAGCATATGTCTTTAGAGTCATTGAAAGACAATTTGTAAAATTGGAGAGTCAATATACCAGCTTCGTCATTTTGATGAAACTATAGAAAACACGTTTAAAGAGGAAATTAAAGCATATAATCAAAATAACAAAACCCGAGATGATTTAGACATTTTTGAGTATACTTTACTGATGCTTTTTGTTTCAGATTATCAGGATAAAAAACCCCCCAAAAAAACAGTAAATTCGCATTTTAGTTGGAATATATCTGAATATAGAATTGTTTTTTGTTTATGCATAACTTTTTATATTTTATTCAAAATTAGTTTTTTCATGTTATTGAAAAAGATAATTAATTATAGAGAATGCAAACCAAGTTTACATATTAAACAAATTAGAATGAAACAAACTTATTAAATATCTAAATTTATCAACAATGGTATACAATAGAAGTTTGTTTTCAATTAACAAGAAATGAAAAGAATGGTTTTGGTTATTTATTATAAAAATGACAATAATGAACAAGTAATTTTCTTATATATATATAAAAAAACAGGATTTCTGTGTGATACCTTTTCACTTGAGATTTTTGACCAAACTTGGCTTATACATTGTACAATGTAAGAGATAGTTTCTTAGCATAAAAAAAAAAAATCGATAATTTAAAAAAAAAAAAAAAAAAAAAAAAAATCGATAAAGCCAATCAAAAATAGGCAAATTCAACTTTTTTCCTCTGATTTCGTTCAAACTCAGTATGTAGGTTACTTACATCATAACAAGCTCAACAATACCTCATTTTTATTTCTATGCTACTGCGTTTAGCGAAAAGCTATGAAAAATTAAAAATTGATTTCAACACTAATTTTAAACTAAAAACTCCCTCAATTTTCAAGCAATCTAATACAAACTTCACTCAATTGTAGCCAACAATAAGTTGATCGTTTAACAGTCATTTAACTTGAGTCCACCCATATAGTGAAAACCCACATAAATAGTGAAAAATGGCAATTTTTACTGTTATTTTTCATTATCTTTCAACTAATTTTCATCAAACTTAACAATTGCTTTATAAATGTATCCTCTTTTATATCACTGGTAGCACACTGACAAATTGAATTTCAAAAACTGCAAAATAATTGTGGTCTGAAGTGGGTTGCCTGTTTTACCCCTTCATGTCTTTGGCTAAGTTTGACTGAATAAATACAGACAACTTCTGTTATATCAATAACTGCATTAATTCAAAATGTTTCAGTGAAAAGTACTTTAAAGTAATTGAAGAAGATAGACTGTGTTACCTCTAAACATGATGCTGTTTTTGCTCCATTCTTTTTCTGATTGACCAGCTGAGTAAGGCTGCTAGTATTATTAATTTCCCCATAAATTTCATTTTTTTTTCTTTATTTTTCCTTTGAGAGCAGAAAAGTACAAAGGAAAGCTGGGAAATTAAAAAATGATTCTTATAAGAATTCATCTCATCTCTAATTGGTTTCTATTCTTAAAGAATATCTTTGTTTTGTTAAAGTCACAAGTGTGAGTGTACTGGCCTTGTATGGACTGTTGATTATGCCAGATAATGTGCTCTCTACCAGAAACTGTAAATAAGGTCTACTCAGCATAGTTGGAATATAAACTACAGGTGAGTTTTGTGGGTGTTAAACAAACATAAATGTGTCTGAGCAGGCCACAGGGATTGGCTAGCCATCCTGGCAGACTCTGTTATGAGTGGCCAACCACCACCAATACAGAAGACTAAACTAATTTTTAAAGAAATTTTAATGTTAACTTTATTCTAAATTTTGCTCAGATTTTTATTTTCATACTTAATATTTTTTTTTTTTTTAAATCAGTGTTTCAGCAAACATGTTCTCTTTTTTTTCAGTGCATAATTCATCATACAGATTTTGTTTTTATAAATAGTTCTGAATATGAGAATGAAAGCTTCCAACAAATAACATTAATTTCCAAGTAAGAGTGAAAATTCCAGCTACATATACTGAGCTGATTAATACAGAAATTCATTTTCCTCTCTAGAGAGCAACAGTACATTTTTTTTTCAGTTGCAAGTGGTCCCTTTTGGCTTTGCTAAGCATAGGCACCAATATAACAGTGAGTAACCAACTTTAAAAATACTGAGAATATTTGACACCTGGACATACAAGAGTCGACAATGTGGGGATATACTGGCTAGGTTATACACTTGAGTAATGATTGAAAGTAAGAGAACTCAAAATGTCAGACAATACCAACTTTTCAGTATTTATAAAGTTTCAATGCACAATGAACAAAAGATGCATTCTGAATATAGTCTTAGAGATTAGAACAGTTTGTTTTTTTTTGCAAACATAACAGAATATTTTCACTTGTACATATTAAATAAAATAACATTTGAGAATAAGGACAGATGAGTATTGATGCTATAGTCACAAAACAATGAAAACAGTTTTATAACTTTAATTTAAAACATCAATCAATTGGTTAAGTTGAGGTTGTGCATTCATGCAAATCATAAAATCAACTTCCATTTATATGAACTGAAAGGAGAACAAGTGAAGAAGTCTGAGTATTACTTACAAATGAATCTTTATTTTTTTCCAGTAGCATCTTTATCATTGATACCACACTCTCAGTATCGTTCCAGATTTCAGCCTGAAAAATATTTATATCAAAATGTAAAGAAAATATAAATAATAAATAATCTTATACGTGATTTTATTTTAAAATGAGACTTACATGCAGAAGACTATTTGCCTTTGTATAGGAATGAGAAAGTATTTCCCATTCATTTAAGCTGTGAAGAGCTCCTTTCAAGGTTCTTTCAACAACTACATCACAACAGTCCTTGAATTTCTGGCAAATATTGAGGTCCATTATCTACCAACAAGAACAAAATAAAGAATATATATATATATATATATATATATATATATATATATATATATAGTAGACTGCATAAAAAAGGATTCTAAATTTTCACACATTATTGATAAAAGTGAATTAGATATCTCTATAGAAAAAGTACTTTTCTTTTTACAATCACTTTAATGATTGTTACTCTTTCTCATTTGCATAAATTAAAATCTCAAATGAAAAATGACAATCAAGTAATTCTCATTTTCTGGATTTGAATCTAAGATCTAAATATTAGAAAATCATTGAATAGAAAAATGCTTTAAGATCACATTTCTTTATTATATTGGGTATACTTTTTATTGAATTAATCATGGTTTGATCCAAATTCAACATAATACAAATCAATATACAATATCAAAGATTAATGATCATTTTAATCTAAACTGTTTAATAAAAAGAATGAAACTGGTAAATTATTTGTTTCAAGGGTAAAGTTTAAAAACAGACATCTAAGTAAATATATATATGTGTGTGTGTGTATTTAGGCAACAAATTTTTACAAAAAAATTTTATGAATATGAAAGGATTATGATAAAATTAATAAGCACACACAATGTTTGTAATTTATTCAATCAGACACACACACGTGTGTGTGGTGGATTTTATCATTGTTCTCAATATATGAGGATTGAACAGCTCAGTTTCTTTTGCTTATGCCTCAAGTGAGACTTAAGCCCAGCTGCTGATTTGCAGATAAAGGAAGCAGCAGGATTTCCATCTAATCTTGTTAGAAGATTTTCCCTTGATTTGATGTTTTCTCTCCTATCTTTAAGCTGGACAACACACATGTCTGTCCAAAGCAACCATTGCTGTCATACCAACACTTCCACTATTGTGAATAGTCAGCGGCAAAGTTTTCAGCTGAGGATACCAGAATGCTGATCAAGACCGATTTTCAGTTCATTTTTAAAGCACGGTAGAGGTTTGACAACATTTCAAGAATCATGATACAGCTGTGAAGAGCTCCTTTTAACAACTACGTCACAACAGTCCTTGAATTTCTGGCAAATAATTGTGGTCCTGCCTTTGGAATCCTATCATCACTCATTCAAATGACAGCTCAGTTTAGTTGGGATTGCATAAGCAATGACTCAATCCTCCCTTTTCGACACTTAGAAAATAGGTAAAAATTTCACATTTGGTCCACTAGTGTGCTAATGACAATGTCCATTCCTATCATAGGTCTATATTGCTTTGTGCAAGGATTGAAAGAAAATGCAAAGAACGTATATATATATATATATATATATATATATATAAGAAATACAGTCTTAAAATACAGTCTTTATGGGATAAAGTGCTCAATATCAGAGATAGAGCGTGTGTAAATATAAAGTGAACATTGAAGTCATCACTTAGTGGCGACAGTCTGTTTCATGCTAGACGCAATCATGGCTGACGATTGTGTCTAGCATGAAACAGACTGTCGCCTCTAAGTGTTGACTTCAATGTTCCCTTATATATATATATATATATATATATATATATATATAAAAATGATAGAGTGAATGTTTGAGGCTCAAGTGTTCAAATGTAAATGTCCTGCTGCATACAAGAGAGAGATATGAATGTATATATATTCAAATGTAGTGGCCACCTGCTCAAAAATGTGGGTGATGGAAATATGTTTACTGTCAATGCAGAATTATCTAGCTGTCTTAGTTGTCAGTAGGTGGTAGGAGAAGGTAGGTATTGAATGTATCTATGTGAGACTGTGTGGGTTGCACATGTATCATATTTTAGCTCTGGTTATGATGACTGCAGCATTGGAAAATTGATAAAATTAATTCATCTATTCTGATTTAGATTGATTTTCCTCACATTATATATCTAGAGATGTGCTTCAAAAATGGCACTTCAATTCTCACTGGCTCACGATTAATGACCTTATATCTTGGCTAGGAACAGTTCTTATTTCTGATTTGCTCACTAGACTATGATGTTTGTATACTGGTTAGTACGTTTTCTGATTGCTTGGTTGAAATACGACTTGATTGCCTAGTAATTTTGAATATACATCTATTATGTAGAGATGGTGAAATTTTGGTCTCATAATTATTTATTATTCCATCACTACAATGTCATAAAGACTTTGTGAAAGATGTTGAGTTTGTGTATATGGGAATGGTAAGGAGTCCAGGAAATCGTGAGCATACATGCACATTAAATAAAAATAAAAATGAACTTACTCCTGAATTTCCTTCCTGAAACAAGACAAGAGTTTGGTTAGTAATCAAAGTGAGTTTAGCAAATATTTCCAATGATTTGTGAATTGTAATCACAATTCTTCTACCAAAATCTTGAATGTTATGACTCAACTGTGAACTGCAGGCCTAAAGTGAAAAAAAATAAAAAAAATAATAATCAGTTAAAAAATTTGAAAATATGGTTTTTATATTGATATAAAAAATACTTTTTTGAATATTAGTGATATAAAAAATACTTTTGTAAATTTGTAAAATCTTATGAAAATCATTTAATGTCATGAAATATTTATTGTAAATATGTATTTGTAATTTTCCTTCAAACTTAAAATAAGCAATGTAACAAAATATTGTGCAGAAAATCAAGGAAATAACAGGTAAAATTGTGTTCAAAAGAAAAACAAAGTTACTAATTAATATAGTCAACTACAGTATTATTTTCATATTTAGTATCACATTCACTTGGTGAATATGACAATAAAGATTAGGAAAACAGTCCAAACAACGTCAATAGTGTAAATAACTACAATACCTTATCTCAGAAATATAGACAGAGCCTGAAAAAGGCTGGAGTGTACAATGGCCGAAACATCGTGAATTCAGGCAATGAAGATGAGGACAATAGTCCAAACAATGTAAATAGTGTAAATAATTACAATGCCCCATCTCAGAAATATAGACAGATCAAGAAGAGGGCCAGAGCCTACAACGGCCAAAACATCATGAATATGGCAACAAAGATTGGGACAACAGTCCAAACAACGTAAATAGTGTAAATAATAACACCTCATCTCAGAAATATAGACAGAAGTAATATAGTTAAGAATACACTTAAAAGTCAATTTACTTTTTTCAACTTACCAAAAGAAAACCATTAATTTCATCAATAATTTGTTCAATAGATGATGCCATATCTCCACAGGTACTTTGAATATACAAATTTTCTTGTTTAAGTGTCTTCATCCAAAATTTATTATTTGATGATAGACTGTAAGACTTATGAAGTAGAAATATCAATTCTTTACATAATCTGTCTTCAAATATATTAGCTAAAAAAGAAAAAAAAATAATCTTATCAATACATTTTGCACAATAAAAAAGGGACTTGAAATTTACAGATAAAAATATTTTATCAAAATATAAATAGCAAAGATATGAACTTGTAAGGATGTTTATAATCTTTATAAAACAATATTTGATGAATTTGTGAATCATAAATTATAGATATAAATAATAATTAACATTTAAAATAATTGTTTGTTTGGGTTTTATGGCATATCAACCACTGTGGGTTATTTAATGCCAAATCCAGTTTATATATATATATATATATATATATAATATATGAATTTTAAATGCCTATTTTGTATGGAACATTTTAGCAAGCTAGAGCTTATTTGCTTGCACACTGCAAAATAATCCTAGGTATTTTTTTTTTGTTTAAGTCAAGAATTTCCATTTGATTGTTGATTGTTTTGTTTAACGGCATCTCAACCTTAGTGGTCACTTTATGCCGAAAATGATTTTGAGTGACTTTAAAAGTCAAAAACGTATAGCGGGCAACATTATGGTTTCAAAAACGTATAGCGGCCAACATTATGGTTTCAAAAACGTATAGCGGGCAACATTATTTTTACAAAAAAAACTATAGCTGGCAACATTATTGTTTCAAAAACGTATAGCTGGCAACATTATGTTTCCGAAAACATTATCTGAGGCCTTGCTGTTGGATGTAGTTTATCGTCATACCAGGACCAAAAATGGAAACATTATGGTTTCAAAATGTATAGCTGGAAACATTATTGTTTCAAAAACGTATAGCTGGCAAACATTACATTATTGTTTGGATGTAATCGTATAGGACGTTCAAAAATATTATGGTTTCAAAAATGCATAGCTGGCAACATTATTGTTTCAAAAACGTATAGCTGGGGTTTCAAAATGCATAGCAACATTATTGTTTCAAAACGTTTTATTTTTCCGAAAACATTATCTGAGGCCTTGCTGTTGGATGTAGTTTATCGCCATACCCAGGACATCATTTAAAGAAAAAAAGAAACAGTTGACATGCAGTGTAATGTAACAAATTTGATTAAAGTGATAATTCAAAAGTTAAAACAATAATCAACAAAATAAACTAGAATAAGTTTTTATGATCAAATTAGGATAAAAAGTGATTCTAACATAATATCTCCAACTTATGATATTTTGAAGTGTTCATTAAAAATTACAATTTCCTTCAATAACCAGGAAATTACTCCATTATCTCTTTCAAGAAATCATGACAATTCAGAGATTAAAGAAAAAAATGAAGTCATGACTGTCTATACTTGGAAGGGGGCGGGCAGTTAAAGACAAACAAGTGAATAAATACCAAAAGTTTCATTAAATTTCATAAGTTAAATTTTACAATTTTAAAATGTAACAAATTTTTAAGAGGTACAAAATTTAATTAATGCAATAAAAACAGATATAATTAAAAGTGGTAAAAGGAAAAACTTCAACTACAGCATATATATTTTAGGATATTTCACTGAAAAACATGTAAAAATTGCTACAATCACCTGAGGAGAGGCATTGAAGCATGACTGCAATTGTGTAGCAATTTTTACATGTTTTCAATTAATATCCTAAAATAAATAATATTGCTCTACTCTGTATTGAGCCCTCTTTTAAATTAAATTTTACAAACGGAATTTTACTCTATTTATTCTCATTGTACCTGGAGATATATATACAGGATGTCCATAAAGTTCGTGTGCACTTTAAAAAATTTATAACTTTATAACGGGACAGTTATGTTATCAGGCAAATGCCATACCAACTGTACCTATGGGCCTCAGTGACAAAGACATAACGATAACATAACTGTCCCAGTTTCAATTCTTGGTAGTGGATGCACACTGCTGATGAGTCACAAATATCAGACGAAACGACTGTCCAGAGCTTTCTGCATTCTGTTGAGGTTTCTTCTAGACTTGATGAATTACTTAATTATAATTACCTCAAATCCTCCTTAATTTCTAATATATATATATATATATATATATATATAAAAGTGAACATAGAGGTCAACACTTAGAAGCGACAGTCTGTTTCATGACATATGCAATCGTCAGGCCATGAGTGCTGTTATTTTCTTCTCTCTCTCTCTATATATATATATATATATATATATATATATATATATATATATACGGGTCAGTGGTGCATTGTGGGTAGGCTATTTTGGCGGTTATTTTACTGGAAGTCATTTATTTGTTTATTTATTTGGGTTAAATTATTTTGCTTATTTTTATTTATTTTTTTTGTTTTCTTATCTTATATATATATTTATTTATTTTAATCGGTGTTTTTATTAACGTAGTAAAAATTTGTTTATATCACTTATTTAATAGCTTTGTTTTGGTTTGAGAATTTAATTAAAGCTATTTGTTCGATTTTGTGGTTGATTGTTGTAGTTTATTCTAACTATTATTTTAGCGGGAACAGTTTTTAATTTGTATTTATTTGGATTCATTATCCTTATTTTTTTTTCTAATGGTAACTTTATTGGGATTGGTTTATTTATTTATTTGGATGAATTTAGGTCAATTTATTTTACTTGTTATTTATTTGTATATTTTCTCTTTTCGGTTTTTAAGTAATGTAGTATTTTTTTTGTTTTGTTTTGTTTTTTTATTGTTATATAACAATTATAGCTATTTTTTTCATCCGATTTTTTGTTTCGATTTTTATAGTCTAACTAATATTTTGGTCATAATGGTTTGCTAATTTGTTTATTATTTACTTTATTTATTTGGGTTCATTTTTTTTATTATTATTATTATTCTATTTTGTCTATTCTAACAGGTGTGATTTGGTAATTTGTTTGTGTTAATTAATTTTGCTTATTTTATTGTTATTTTGTTTATTTATCTTTATTTTATTTTTTCTGTTTTCGATTTTTAAGTAACGTAGTAAAAATTTGTTTTCATGTCTGCATTTTGAGATGAGCTCGGATCTTTTATTTAATAATTTATTTTGGTCTGGGAAAGTAATGATAGCTATTTTTTCCTCCAACCAAAGTTTGCGAGTCCTTGATTGGTTGTTGTAGGCTGATGATCTTTTCTTTATTTTCCAAGATATTTTTGGTGTGATGTGCGTTTTGTTTTTAATTTCCCAGATATACTTAGAAAGCATGGTACTGTTCGCATATTTGCTATTTGTGAAAGATGTCTTGTGTGTATAATTTCTTTGTTTCCAGGATCCTTCAGTTACTCATATGTATACTTTTTCTTCATTATCTGGCGATTTTATCGTGGCTTGGTATATTATGTTGTTTTGTAAACAATTTCCGTTTAAGGGACATTCGTTCTTTATTCTGCAGTTGCACGTGGGTTTAATTTGTTTGTGAGGTTTGTTGATAATTTTCCTGTTGTACTTTTTTATTATTTGTGCCATGTTCTCGGTGCAACTGTAGCTGATTTTTACTGTGTTTTTGTTGAATATTTTGTGTAGGATGTTTGATTCCGGGAAGTGTTTGTGTAAGAGTTTGAAGAATATTTTTCCTACGTTTGTTTTTACGTTTTTGCTGTACAGTGGGTTGAACCATATGATATTTCTTCTCCTTTTTAGCCTTTTTTGTGTTCTGTGGTGAGTATGTGAGTGTTGCTGGGAATCCATTATCTTTTAGGGCTGTTTCATAGTCTTTCTTAGTTTTGTTAAATATGGATTCATTGGAGGAATTGTCGTAAAGCCTGTGGTTAATCGATTTTGGTATCTGTTTGATTATAGAAGGCCGGTGGTTGGAAGATGTGTGTATATAGAGTGGTTTATCATTGGGTTTTCTATATGGTTTATATGTGCCTTTTCTTAGGTTGAAGGTAACATCTAGAAAATCTACTTCGTTTAGGTTAGTTTTTATATCTACGTCGAATCTATTATTTTTAAAAATCTTTATTATTGCTTTTCTAGTTTTGTTTTTCTTGGCCTGATGATTGAATATAGCATAAAACAGACTGTTGCCTCTAAGTGTTGACTTCTATGTTCACTTTTATATTTACACACACTCTATATCTGATATTGAGCACTTTATCCCATAAATATAGCACATCTTAAGACTATATTTCTTCATATATATATATATATATATATATATATATATATACACACACACACACACACATATGTGTGTGTGTAACAAATGGAAAATGTTTATAAATCTAATGTTTCGTCTTTATTAAAGATTCATCAGAGACTGAGATATGGAGAAAAATGAAAAAAAAATTCTGTTATTTTTTATTTTTGTGTTATTTGTTTTTCACTGGTTAAGCAGACTTCACATGCATTTTGCCTTGTAAAGTAGCATTCAGGTGTAAATTTATGTGTGTATGTGTCTATGTTTCATTTGTCTATGCGGATTCAGATGATAAGTGTGTGTGTATTTAGTAGGCATTTTTATTTACGTATTGTGGTTGTCTGCATGTTGATTTGTCATAGTAGTAGGTAGACATACAGTGGGGGGAAACAAATATTTGTACACATACAAATTTTTAATTTATTACACTACATTACATCACCAACTTTTATAAAATCCATACTTAAAAAATCTAAAATATGTCTACCTACACCACTACAAATGGTGTTGTATAAAAACATCCCCAAATCAACATGCAGACAACCACCATACATAAATTAAAATGCCTACTAAACACACACATTATTTTTAGAATGATAACATTAATAAACTATAAAGAAAAACTGAGTGTGAAGGGAGCTCATTTATTCACACTTGTGACTTGTGTATTTTTTTTAATGGTAGGTGAAAATAATAACTCTTGGAAATTGCTTGAAATAAAAAATATCTAAAGAAAGTAAATACTTTACACGAGAGTGTCTGTTGATGATCAGGCCAAATTCTAATCACAGTTTTAACACTGCATATTATTTCACAAAAACATGCCAAAACATGGTCAGCAAGAGTCCATTCTGTAACAAAAGAGGTTATGCAAGTCACTATAAAATAAAATAAAAAAATTCTGAAATATAATTAATATTAATGATTAAGAAAATGTGAATCTTATTAAAATTTTTTGTATATATTATAATTCATTATATAAACCATGTGACCAAATATCTGTGACAAAATTTTAAATATAATAATAACAAGTCAACTTGATGACTGAAAATTTTGTCAAAATTGTATTTTATTTCTCTCATTCAACAGCCTTCTTTCTTATATATTAACTAGAAAGATAGTATATTAATGTGATAGTAGCAATTAAGAGAAATGAAGTTGAATGAATACTAATTTCAATTGATGTTACTTCATTCTTAATTCACTCCACAGTTGGATTATAATGGCTACATTTTATACTCTTCCAAAATTTGCATAGAAGAATCATCTAAACTTCAAAGACTATTCAAAATATTTGATTCTCTTATTGTTATAACTTCTGAGGACATCTATAAAGTGTTGTAGCCTAGAAAAGGTTACTGAATGAGGAATAACCAAAACAGAGGTTGGAAATGAAATGGTAATCTTTATAACATCAACAAAATACAATACTTGCCATCAGCATGAAGTAGGTAAACCACTATATATAACAATGTCAAATAAAAATATTTAGCTTTCTATCAGTCAAATGGAAACATTTCTAACATTTTACGTGTATTTGAAATATTAAAGCTAAAGTAGAAAATAGAAAACAGATACTTAAAGGATCAGAAAATACCAATTATCAACTAACAAAAATATAAATAATAGATGTTGTCCTCAATAGACATTCTATTTATATTTTCAATTCAGGTTTAATCTGTGTATATTTTGTTATCATTTTCATTTAGATATTTTCAATTTTGGAATGCGTAATGCTATAAAATAGTTTGAAATTGTCTTATAAAGATGGCAGCTCAACTAGATATTTGATTTATCCACATTAATACCTATATATATTGTTCTAACCTAGAAAGGGTTACGGAATGAGGAATAACCAAAATGAAAAATATAGATTACGTGAGAAGGAGGAACTGGGACAAATTTGCAAATGAAACAAAGCATAGTAGATCAACACAAATACTAACAAAACCAATTTTATTGAGAAGCTGTAAAAAACCTTCCATGGGAAAGATACATTACAAAAGCTGTCAGGGAATTTAACAAAGATTTAAAAGACATCAAACAGGAAAGCTGTAAAACTTTGAAAGAAAGGTCTTCAGCAAGAAATTAAATCAAATATAATGAAACTAGTGACAAAGAAGAAATTTCATAAACTTGGAGGGATAAAAGCAACCATTCCTAATGTACACTAAGCTATGTAGGACTGGTTCTGGACTGAAAGTAAGATTATCAAAATCAATGTTTAAAGCCCAGTATAAAATCTTTTATGACTGTCAAAAGAGAAGAGGACTAAATTTTCTAATAAATGGATTAGAAATTGAATGCAAGAGTACAATGTACAGCTTGAGAAAACCAAATCAATGGTTTTAAATCATGCAAACTGATAGGGAAGAATGTATTGAGTACCTGAAAAACATTTGGACAGTGCAGAAATTCTTTATTGGTAGGCTTGGCATCGATCCTCTAATTATCAGTTGGGATCAGATGCTTCTTCATTGTAATGGGATTGCTTCTCAAAAAGTCAACACCACTGAATTTGATACAAATATTTATCAAAAGAAAAAGCAGCAAACTAAAGTTCACAGGAATGGAAGTAGCAATTGCGGATGGAAGGAAAAGTACAGGACAGGTAACGATTGTGATCAAAGGGAGGAGTACAAGGAGACGACTGGAGTCGAAGGGAGGAGTACGAGGAGACGACAGGGGTACTAATCAGAGAGGAAGTAAAGAGTATGGAATTAAGGAAGCAGTAGTTAGAAAAATGAACATTATGGAAATATTATCAATTTTATTAATGTATTTTGAGATATAGTTTGATATATTATTTATTTATTGGCTGTTGAACATTTATTCATATTGTCACATTGGCAAGACTCCATGGCAATTTTTCGAGTTTTTAAAGTATTTTATTTAAAGACATTCATAGATATTTAGTTTTAATTTTATAAGGTCATGCTATAGTTTGAAAGGCTTGTTTTTAATTCTTTTTCAACACCATTGATTAGATTTTTTCAGATTTTTCTATTTCTTGTTCATTAAAATCAGATTTATTGAAATTTTTTGTCGCACTTGATCAATTACGACTGAATAGAGAGTTCGATCTTCATTGGCAGCTCCATACTTTCGGCATTGTGCCACTTAGAAAATCACCATTGTTCAGACATGATTTTGTCACATTCCGCCTGCAGTTTCTGCCACAAATCAGACACTGTTATTGATTTTCTTAACTTTATTTTCAATGATCTTCAATTGAGATCTGGACTGAGCAGATCATTCCATAGCCAGTGTTTTTTGGCTTTGAAGGTATGTCAAGACATTATTTTGCATAAAGATGAGACTTGGGACAGAAGATGCTTTCAGAGAAAAACATACTGTGCATAAATATTCTTCTATATGGTAGCATTTGCATTGTCATATAACTGTCAACACCAGTGCCAAAGAACATCTGTCACACCAATATATGCTAGTACCAACAGATTTAAGAAATTTTTTGAGAAGTAATCACATTTATGCTGTATGACATACTGCTTGTCATCAAATTAAAAACTTAATTTCATTTCTAAAGAACAACTCTTTTAATTGGTCCAGACATTTATTTTTGGTTCTTCTTGAGAGTTTTCATGAGAAGAACAACATGCATGAAGATCTACTTCACATAAACAACACTCCCTCCTGAGATACTTTCATGCCAAATTCTTTGACATGCAATGCTTGTTGTTATGGCAAAATACTCTACCATGTAGAGTTCTTATATTGCATGATCCTACTGAGGAATCAAGTTTACATTGTTGCCCAATATTTTTAGGTGATTTAAAGGATCCAGTATCATAAAAAAAAACATTTAATATTCTAGAACTTATACTTTTACATCTATTAGCTTTTGAAATATCAGAAATTGCCATCCTTTGAGCTTTTAGATGCCTGAGTGATTTATTAACTTTACAGCAGTTTACCATCAAGATAATTTAGGAAAATGCTGCAGATAAACAAAGAGTATTTGCTATCATATTTCAAAAGCTAATAGATGTAAAAATGTAAGTTCTAGAATATTAAATGTTTTTTATGATATTGGATCCTTTAAATCACCTAAAAATATTGGGCAGCTGTAAATCTCTTATGAATGACAATATCTATTGGATACTATAGTCTTTTGTAATAAATACTTTTTTATTCTTTCTTTATTCTTGTTTCATTTTTATGCAAATTTACCAAAGTTTTCAACAAATATTTAAGAATATTTGCTGTAATTTTATCTTGATTGAACCTGTAGAAATGGATTTTTTTTTTTAAACTTTCATTCTTTAATATTGTACGCTACTGTGTGTAGCCTAAAAAAGGTAAAATTTATTTAGTGTGAATTTTCTATCTTGCAAAAAAAAAAAAAAAGAAAAAAGAAAAAGGAAAACATTTTTTTACATTTTTTGTGTTCTTTAATAAATAATTTAATATTTTTCACATAATATTACTATAAATTTATCTGATTGTTGATTTCCCAAATGTATTAGGAGTGATTACAAAAGTTTTCCCCCTCTTATAGTCAGAAATACACAAAATGCATGCTGAGATATTTTTCTTAGCCAATAAAATGGGACGGTTTATGTTTTGACGTAATTAAGTTCAGATCTGCTTCACTACTAGGCAGACCTACTGCATTTGCTTAGCCGATCTTGCTTTTTGTGTACCAACTCCTAGTTTGTGAATTCTTTTGCCTTCTTACAATTTTGATTTTGATTTAACTAAAACGTTTGCTTGCTTGCATGATTGTTGCCGTTTCATCCTTTTTGACCATTTTTTTCATTGCAAACTTTATTAATTCTGTTTGTGTTATCTATCTTGCACTTTGGCTTCTAGCTCATCACTAATCAAACGACTGACAAAAACTCTTGGTATTTAATAAAATTTACTTTATAATTATACAATATCAATAAAAATCAATGCTCATAATATTTATTTAAAAAACAGCAAACTTTTAAATTTATATAAAGTTTACTATATATTACTATTCCTAAGTTTTTTTTGGGGGGACTCTTTTTTTTCTTCCTTCTTGCTCATTTATATAAAAATTTGCTCTTGCAAATAACATTTTTGGTAAAGATTAAAAGAAAATTACTAATAAACAAATTATTACAATTAATACATCTGATAAGAGTAAAACTAATAGGAATAAATGTTACATGTGTTTTAAAACTGTAAAAAAAAAAAAAAAAAAAAAAAAAAAAGAACAATAGAATTTAAAAATAAAAACTACATATATATATTTCATTGAATACGACAGACAAGGTGCTTTTATTTAAGAACATTTGGACAGTTTTTATATAATTTATCATCTAAAAAAAAAAAAAAAAAAAAAAATTATTAGATCGCCTGAAAAATTGTATAAAAAAACTAAATAAAATCACCTTGTCTGTTATATTTAATGAAATGTGCATGAAAGAAGGATTACTGCCTAAATACACAAATATCCTTTAAAAAGGATTTTGGTGAAATAAATTATTGTAATGGTACCTTAAAGTGGTCTTTTTTCATTAAAAATTTATATAATATATATAAGTCAACACTTAGAGGCGACAGCCTGATGATTGCATATAGCATGAAACAGACTATTGCCTCTAAGTGCTGACTTCTATGTTCACTTTTATATTTACACACGCTCTATCTCTGATATTGAGCACTTTATCCCATAAATATAGCACACCTTAAGACTATATTTCTT